AAGGTACACACATTACATATTTTTCTACAGGCTTTGGAGACTCCACAAGTTTGCAGAAAAACCCCAAAATTATTCAAAAATGGGATGAGGGATTAAATTCCCTGCTAAAGGGAGGAGCATTGTTTGTGCAAGGCCAGACAATGCTAAGGAAAGAGAAGTGACAGTTAGGGATGAGGACAATGATGATGGTTGGAGTGGTGGTGGTGAGGAGGAGGAGGAGGAGGGGGTGGCCGGGCAGCAACTGAGAGATTCTGCTTTGCCAGGAGGCAGAGGGGGAAATGAGGTGGTGATGGGGAGGGTAAGAGAAGCTACCACCAAGTGAGCCAGGCAGGCAGAAGTGAAGTAGACAGAAATGAGCGGGCAGGCTGGGGAGCAGGTGGGCTGGTGAACAAGGAAGTGGGTGAGTGAGGCAGTGGGGAGGGCAAGCAAGTGACATAGCTGGGTGAGCCCAGGAAGAGGACGTGGCAGTCTGAGGGTAGTGGGAAGCAATGTTCCCTCTAAGCTGTGGAGTCTTGTGAGCAAAAATTCTACTCTGTGAGCTACTGGCATGAAATTTGTGAGTGAGAAATTTGGCTACTGCATAAGTTAGTTGGCCCTGGATTCATCCTTCCTGAGCGAAGACAAAAATCTGTGAGCTGGAGGCTGAAAAACTGTGAGCTAGCTCACACTAACTCAGCTTAGAGGGAACACTGGTGGGAAGGAGGAAAAGCGTGAGAATACAGAGGAGGCAAAAAAGGGAGGCAGGAGATGTGAGGGAAGGGGGGCCAAAAGGGGAGGGAAAGTGTCCATGGTGGAGCAGGGGGGGGGATATAAAAAGGTTTCCCCCCCCCCGAGTCTTGCAGGTCTCCTTGTTGTATATCTTAATTCCAAACTGTTTTATGGATTAGTAGATCTCCAAACTGAAGCTAGGGACAGATTGGGGGTATTTCTCTATAACCTGAAGGAAGTCCAAAAGTTGCATTAAAATCTGAAATATTTAAAAAATAGGGGATTAAAATTTCCCCAAATAAGAGAAACAATGCCTACATCTTTAAGAAAAGAACATCCAATGAGCCTCAGTTTGTGTGTATATGTAAGTGTGTATATATAAGTAAGGACTTCAGCAGCCACCAAGTCATGGGCATCGGCCTGTGATCTATTGGCAAACCCTGACTTACAGTCTTCTCCCTTCCCCTAAGATTAATGGATGGCTGCTGCTCAGAGTGAAACCCAGCAAAATTAAACCTGGGGAAAGGCTTGTGTATCAGATACTGGGCTGAGGTGCTGAACTGTTTAATAAATATTAATGAATAAACATTAAATATCGAATACATTTAAAAAACCCAAAATATTAAAAAAGGGAAAAGTAAAGGCATTCTGTAAATGGTATTTTGGAAGAACCTGGACTCTCTAGTGTCCTGAAGCATAACTTCATCTTCATTGTGAAATCCAACCTCTTGCCTTCATTGAGCCAACAGTTGCAATTGACACGGCTTACCTGAGCCATCATTTTGCGGCTGGCTCAGACTGGTAGGCTGACTCCAGGGCTGGGAGGAGTAGATCCCACAGTCCTGAAGGCTGTCCACCTCTGGAACGAAATAGGTGCCTTCTCTGGCTGCTGTGTCTTATTGTATAGGTTAACACTAGAGCATTGTGTCACCCTTTCAAGTGCAGAGTCTTCTGGGGACCTGTTTTGATAATAATCACCTGATTGATATTAGTTTTAAACTAATCAAAAGGGCATTACTAGCATAAAGTCTGAGAGTCTGGATGAGCAAGTGTGAGAGCTGTTAAAACAGTCCTGAAACTTTACATAGGCTAATCCTTTTTCTTTCCCTCACGTTAAGCCAGGTTGCTATTAATCCTGCTGGAAGCAGTGCTCTTATCAGAGTGATCTGTGTGATATTTGACCTGACTCAAGTTAATGCCATGTCACTTAATGACTGGAGATGGATGGATTACTTAGCCTTCTTGCTTCACTTTGGCCTTCCCAAGATTTCTCGCTGGCAAGAAGAACTTCCCTCAGTGAGGAAACAATCCTCCACTGCAGTATGGGAGCAGGCAACTGAGTTTTGGCAATGGCCTGGCAGCCAGCGAAAGAAGATCTGAGCAATTTCCAGCAAGTCTGGGGAATTTCAGAAAGCATCCAGTTAGAAATCCCCAGTTGGGGATTTCTAAGTTACACTCACTGTTTTGAATCCAGTTAGCATCCAGTTAGAAATCCCCAGTTGGGGATTTCTAAGTTTTTTGTTGTTCAGTCGCACAGTCGAGACCGACTCTTCGCGAACCCATGGACCAGATCACGCCAGGCCTTCCAGTCTTCTGTCGTCCTCTGACGTTTCCTCAACTTCATGTTCGTTGCATCTATGACACTGTCTAACCATCTCATCCTTTGCCGTCCCCGTCTTCTTTGACCTTCAATCTTTCCCAGCATCAGGGTCTTCTCCAGTGAGTGCTCCCTTCTCATTTGGTGGCCAAAGTATTTGAGCTTCAGTTTCATTATCTGGCCTTCCAGGGAACAGTCAGGGTTGATTTCTTTTAGGATTGACTGATTTGCAGTCCAAGGGACTCTCAAGAGTCTTCTCCAGCACCATAGTTCAAAAGAATCTATTCTTCGGCGCTCGGCCTTCCTTATAGTCCAACTCTCGCAGCCATACATGACTACTGGGAATACCATTGCTTTGACCATGCGGACTTTTGTTGGCAGGGTGATGTCTCTACTTTTTATCATGCTGTTTAGGTTCGCCATCGCTTTCCTCCCAAGGAGCAGGCGTCTTTTAATTTCATGGCTGCTGTCACAGTCTGTGGTGATCTGGGATCCCAGGAACGTGAAATCTGTCACTAGAGGTTGTTGATCTTTTTCCCAGCAATCTTAATTCCCGTTTGTGATTCATCCAGGCCAGCATTTTGCATGATGTACTCTGCATATATATTAAATAAGCAAGGTGACAATATACATTCTTGTCGTACTCCTTTTCCTATGCTAAACCAATCAGTTGTTCCATATCCGGTTCTAACTGTTGCTTCTTGACCCTTATACAGGTTTCTCAAGAGTCATGTGAGGTGGTCTGGTACTCCCATCTCTTTAAGGACCTGCCATAGTTTGTTGTGATCCACACAGTCAAAGGCTTTAGCATAGTCAATGAAGCAGAAGTAGATGTTTTTCTGGTACTCTCTTGCTTTCTCCATAATCCAGCGAATGTTGGCAATTTGATCTCTAGTTCCTCTACCTCTTCAAAACCCAGCTTGTACTTCTGGCAGTTCTCTATCCACGTACTGTTGAAGCCTAGCTTGTAGGATCTTGAGCATGACCTTGCTAGCGTGTGATATCAGTGCAATTGTGCGATAGTTTGAACATTCCTTGGCATTGCTCTTCTTTGGGATTGGAATGTATACTGACCTTTTCCAATCCTGTGGCCACTGTTGCGTTTTCCAAATTTGCTGGCAAATTGAGTGCAGCACTTTAACAGCATCGTCTTTTAAGACTTTGAATAGCTCAGCTGGGATACCATCACCTCCACTAGCTTTGTTGTTAGTAATGCTTTCTAAGGCCTGTTTTGAATTAAAATGAGAGGTGTCCTTTTTTATTTGTTTAAAAAGGTTTATACTCCTCTCATTTGTTCAAGGCAACTTCATTATAACACCTATAAGTGTTATGACACCTATTATAACACCGTGTATAAGAGTCAGACTTGTTCACCCCACCCTTCAATGTTGGGGAAGAGCAGTTACTCATACAGATATGCAGTGAGCAGCCCAGAGTCAATAATGATGCTGCATTTGATTCTCTGTCATCCAGTATAGATGTGCAGAGATGCAACAGAAACCATTAACATGTATTATGAGAGTCCAGTTCAGTGAATCATGCAGAGGTGCAGTAGGCAGTCTCCTTTATGGATCAGGCTTGACTAACCTGACTGTTGTTTGCGTGCTGTTATGAATCTATGAACTGCATATGCTACTACCTGGGATTCCTCTACTGAGGTAATTTCTTTTGTAGTGCTAATTCTGTGTTCCTGGGTACTTAGAGATCTTGTTCAATTGCATCCGAGGCCATGAACACTTTACTTCTCAGCTTTCTCTTAGATGCCCAGGGGAAAGTTGCTGATACGTCTAGATTCCTTGGTAATAGCAATTTCCTTTCTGTAAATCTTGCATTTTATAATGAGTACTTACCCAGACGTTTTTCCTGATTAATTGTGCAAGACTTGTGGAATCTTGGGCCTCCTGTGGTCAGTTGTCTGGTATGGATATCTTCTGTATTCACAGGGGTCACTTTCTTTTACAGACAGCAGTCCAGGAGTTGGAAATATATTATGCTATAGAAACTAACTATAGAAACGAACCCTCCTCTAGTGAATAGTCAGGTGCCATAACCAAGTTAGCACCCAAGTAACAGTAGAGGCTTCATAGTTACAGAATGTGTGTTTGGGCATAACATTACCTTGCTGCTTCAGGTATTTGTGTGGAGAGGCACTCACTGAACATTATACTCACTAAACAAAAATATCTGTAGTTATATACCTTTTGTACTCATTCCAATAGATTTTGCTTGCTGCGGTCACTTATTAGGAGGAAGTCTTGAGAGCCCATTAAGAGCATGGACTCTAATCTGGGAGGACTGGGTTTGATTCCCCACCCCTTCACATGCAACTGCTGGCGTGACCTTGGGCCAGTCATAAGTTCTTTCAGAGCTGTTCTCTCAAGGGCAGTTCTCAAGAGAGCTCTGTTAGCCCCACCTACCTCACAGGGCGTCCCCTGTGTTATGGGGAGGAGAAGGGGAAAGAGATTGTAAGCTCCTCTGAGACTCCTTCGGGTAGTGAAGCACAGGGTATAAATCCAGTTTCCTCCTCCTCCTCTCATAAACTTTGTGAAAACCTTCTGGTTCTGAGGGCTCAACCTAAATCAGGAAATTCCGGGGACTTTTTAAATATTAGATTGCTTCCAAAGACTAAAGTTAGACCAGCTCATTTTGTGATCATTGACAGGTTCTTCACACACATCTCCTGGTCTTATTACAGGGTTCAAAGAGAGTCCTGAGATCCAATGAATATGTTCTCCCCCCTGGTGGCTTGATGGAGACTGATCTGGAATTGACGTTTTCATTGCAGGTAATTTGAACCTCACTGGCTAGGAAGCGGAGAATTGTCCCACGACCAGGACACTTACTACCTTTGCTTTCTGAATAGATTAGTGCCCATAGGAAGTGGAGAACAGCAGCACGGGAAATTCACTTGCGTCTCTGTTAAAGTGGCTTTTGTCTTCTGTGTGCGTAGCATGGGATATAATTGGTCTTCAGAGGATTCAGTTTGAGTTCGCCATGCCCTGGAGGCTAGGATGACTGAAAACTGCTTACAGGGCTGCCAAGGCAAAGCATGGAGGAAGGTGACTTAGAAGGTGTTTGACAGGGCAAACCACTGCAGTGCCTGTATGTCTCCCCTTCTGTAGTATCCGCACTTCCTGAAGAGAGATGGCAACAAACTCCAAATTATGCTCCAACGGAGAAAGAGGTACAAGAACCGAACTATTCTGGGCTACAAGACACTGGCAGTGGGAATCATTAACATGGCTGAGGTAAGGGAAGCAGAGACTGATACAGGCATTTTGTGTCTTCTGCCATCTCTGAAAATTGAGTTCTGGGCAATGCCAGAGCTGATGGGGAGGAGGAGGTTGGTCATAAAGAAGTCTGGTTCAGTTGCAGCAGTTGGCACCTGTTCTAGATGCCCCAGAGTTCTCCTGTAGCACACTTTGTCCCTTACTCAGGTAATGCAGCACCCGACAGATGGAGGCCAGCTCCTGGGACTGCACAGCAACATCAAGGATGTGAACATCCGGGTAGCTGAGATCAGCATTTACTCCCTCTCCAGCCAACCCATTGACCATGAAGATGGAAGTGTCCCCTCTGGTCCCAAAATCAAAGCCTCTGGTAAATATATATTATAGACTCTCAGAATGTTTCTAGACCTGAAAGGGCTTCATTGAAGTTCTTTCATCTCTGCACTAGCAGCCAGGAATTTTGGCTGATCAGCTGTCCTCTGTAGCTTCATCTTTGCTCGATCTTCCATCTGTCTGGCAATATCTCCGTTCCCTGTTAATCTAGAATCTCCTTTTCTAAGCTTATAGATCTCCTGCCACTCAGCTTATGACGTGCCCTTCAGTGGCCAAACGATGCCTTCTGGTCAGCTGCTACAAATTTCTGGTGCTATACATTAAAGCTCACTGACTCTTGGTGCCTCTTTCCTCCACTGCTCCTCTCGCCTGACCCCTTCTCCTTACTGACTCAGGGCAGTTTGACCCATGGTGTGTGCATTTCCCTCTCCCAGATCGCTCTCCGGATATTGATAACTACTCTGAAGAAGAAGATGACAGCTTTTCCTCTGAGCAGGAAGCTAGTGATGATGCAGTGCAAGGCCAGGTATCGCTTTGTCTTCTATCTGTCACCCTCTCTCCAAGAAGATTAAGAATGTATGTGTGTGTTTTATTTTTTTTATACACACACACACTTTTAATTAATTTATTTATTCAATTTATACCCTGCCCTATCCCACAGGTGGGCTCAGGGCAGCTTACAACATGTAGTAAAACAATAAAACAGTAAAAGCGATAAAACAATCAGTGGTAAACAATATCATCAACCTCATGTCCCATATCAGGTGAATATAGTGCTCCAGTGCCCAATAATATTATCTGTCAGCAGGCACTGGGGGAGGGGCCATAAACAGGGGCCATAAACAGAATGGTTGAATGTCAATCGCCTCAATCAAAAGCCTGGCGGAACAGCTCCGTTTCACAGGCCCTGCGGAACTGTAATAGGTCCCTCAGGGCCCTGATCTCAGGTGGGAGCTTGTTCCACCAGGTTGGGGCAAGGGGCGAAAAAGCCCTGGCCCTGGTTGAGGCTAAGCGGACGTCCCTCGGGCCAGGGATCACCAGGAGGTGTTGATCAGAAGAGCGTAAAGCTCTCTGGGGCTCATATGGGGAGAGGCGGTTCCGTAGGTATGATGGTCCCAGGCCTTGCAGTGTTCTGTGGGCTGCATCCAGTATGCGCAAACAGAAAGGGAAATGTCCTTAGGGCAGTTCTTGGGCAAGCACTAGCACAACAGCTGCAGCAACACATCATGCTGTAATGCAGTTTTAATGAAATAACTGTGTGTATAAAAATGTACAACAGTTGGTTCCTATGACTACATTTAATTTGGTTTTGAAATTGTATGGGAAGAAATCCCTTGTGCCATGTCTTGCACAAGGGAAAAAGGTAGTGGGGTACATTTGTAAGCAGATAGAGAGGCGGTCATTTTACTGGGTGAAGAACCAGCTCCTGTGGACATGCAGAGCTCTTTCCAGCCTTAACTCCTCCTTTGCACTCCTGACGCAGTGAAGAGTCAAACCTGGGGCGAGGAGGTGCAAAGGTCATCCCAAAGGGTATGCAAATTTTTTAAAAACCCTTAAAATTGCCAGCACCAGTTATTCATTAGACTACTCAGGATGCCTTAAATTATCTTATTAAAAAGAGAAGTCAAAGAATCCCAGTACTGGATAGACCGTTGCCATCCTCTGATGACCCATTGTTCCCTTAGGGGAGGGAGATGGCCCACCATTTCCACCTCTGTACCATCTGAGGATATGTTTGTGTGCTGATGGGGAGCCCCTGAGCATCTGGCAGTGGAGTCCTTGAATGCCAGAGATAGGCTTGCCAAGTCCCCCCAGGGGGCGGGGAAACCCCCGCCCCAGAGGCCCGTTCCCCACCACCGCCGGATCGGGCCCCGGGGGGAACTCCACCCCGATGTGCCCGTCACCAGGAAGTGAAGCGACCACGCCGGGCACGCTGGGGGCGGGGCCACAGTCATCTGAGGGAAAACTCTATGTTTTTCCCTCGGATGGTCGTGGCCCCGCCCCCAGTGTCGTCATGTCACTTCCTGGTGACGTGGATGCGGCACGTGCACACGCGCTCCGGGATCGACCCGGGAGTCCCCCGCTCCGGAACAAGGTGAGACTTGGCAACCCTAGCCAGAGAGGACTCTGAGGTATGCTCTAAGAGGCGTTCTCAGTTCAGCAACAAATTCAGTCCAAGAATTTTGGGCTTTGCCATTCCCACCTGTCAACTGAGAATGGGCCCTGAATAAGCACCCAGTTCTTCCTTAACGGCATCTCAATGGGGGATCTGCGGTTATGGCTCAAGTTGTCTTTGGAGGAAGGTTCTTTGCCATTACTGACTGTCAGACTGAGGAATTTTTGATCAGCTTCCAAGCAATCCCAGGCACAGTCTTGAAATCACTGGCCTCAGACATTAGATTCTTCTGATATTTGCTGACATCTCATGCTTTTTAGGATTTATATGATGAAGAGGACGAAGTAAGGAAGCCAAAGAAAGCCCGGCGGAAAATGATCAGGACCACATCTATGACCAGAGTAAGGACAATGTTTCTCGGTTTTTCCAAAGGGGAGGTTACTGGGAATGGAACTCCTTTTGCTCCCAGTCTGGAATGCTCTGTGCTTTCTGCAGCAGATGATATCCGAGAGAACAGGGGTCCATCTGAAGAGGTATTGTTGTCCAGTTGGAACTCTTGGGCACTCCGCATGCCGCTGATGCCCTGGCAATATCTAAAGGCAGCAGGACTCCTCCCGTAACCCTCTCCTCATGATTAGCAGAAGCAGAATAAATTATGCAAAATACCCAAATGTAGGCATATGTGCTGCTTAATCTGCATGATTTATACAGTTTGTGGAACTCATTTACTTAGTTACTTTTATCCCACTCTGCCTCCAAAGAAGCTCGGAGTGGCTTCATTCGTTCGTTTGATTTATTTCCCGTTCCATCCCAAAAGCTCTGAGCAGCTTATGTGACACGTTGAAATTTTTCATTCAAAAAAAGAAAGGAAAATAAAACAACCAAGAGATGGGTTGTTGTTTTTTCCCTAAGTATTCTATGCATAGGGAGAACCACAGTGATGTAGTGGTTCATATGCTGGATAGGAGAGGGAAGACCCATGTTCCAACTCTACTCAGTCGTGGAGCTCTCTACGTGATTTCGGCCCAGTTCCAGTCTCTCAGTCCCCCAACAGACTTCTTGTAAGAATGAAATGTTTGCCACCCTGAGCTCCTTGGAGGCTGGATGGGATAAAAGATGATGGCAATTATAGGTGCACTCCGAGCACCTCCAGCCTGAATGTAGCGAGAGACCAGTGGTTTTCAGGTGCTCATCCATGCAGACAACTTCCAAGCCCAGATCTGTTTTGGGACGTCAGCTTTTGGGGGAAATAGAATTTGGGCTACTTTGCAGAATGTTTTTGTTTTTAAGCACGGAGTGTACATTCTTCTGATTCCTTGTGACCAAGTGCTGTTCCACTTAAGATCCATGGAGTGAAAGCCTAAGCTTGCCCACTGTGAAGTCATGCCACGGAACTAAAATCATTTGCTCCTTCTTAAGTATGTTTAAGATTGCAGCCATAGGCATACTTGCACTTTTTAAATGTCTCTACAGAGAGACTTTTAAGGCACTTGGCAGATGTTCTCACACAGCATGCCTAATGCCAGAAGTCTGTGCATGCAGAGGACGTCTGTGCATAACAGGTGCCTGGAGAGAGTAATGGAGTGGGTGAGGGCCAACAAACTGGAGCTCAGTCCCGACAAGACTGAGGTACCGTTGCTCAAGGATTGAGGAGTAAACCCGCCCTGCAAAGTGTTGTACTCCCCCAGAAGGAGCAGGGATGCCACTTGGGGGTATTGCTGGATCCTGGCCTCTGCGGCACATAGTGCCTTTTATCAGCCTTGGCTGGTACACTGTCTATGGCTGTTCCCCAGAAAGTGTGATCTGGCCAGAATGACTATGCTCTGATTGTATCAAGGTTAGATTACTGCACGTGAAGCAGCTGCCTTTGAATATGGTCTGGAATTTTTTTCCAGATTTTCCAAAATGCAACAGCCAGACTACTCTCATGAATGGAATATAGGGATCATGTCACCGCAATGCTGAAAGATCTGCAGTGGCTGCCCAGTTCTTTTGGGGCACAATTCAGAGTGCTGGTTCTTACCTTTAATGTCTTCAATGGCTTAGGGCCAGGGTGCATGAAGGACCGCCTCCTCCCATATTGCCCAGCCGGCAAGTTAAGATCTGCTTTGCAAGCCCTGCGCTCTGTTGTCCCCACCTTCAGTAGGAGGCAGATGGCAACCGGAGACAGGGCTTTTTACATAAGAACATAAGAACATAAGAGACGCCAATGTTGGATCAGGCCAAAGGCCCATCCAGTCCAACACTCTGTGTCACACAGTGGCCAGAAATACCAGTGCCATCAGGAGGTCCAGCAGTGGAGCCAGGCAGTGGCACCTCACTTTAGGGAGGCCCTTCCCTTCTGAGGCTTGTCGGGCACCTACTCTGCTCTCTGTTAGGTGCTGCGTCAAAATGTTTGTGCTCACCCAGGCTTTTAAGTGGTCTTTTAATACCATTTTAGTGTAATTTTATTATTGAACTGTTATTTCAAGCCGCTTAGTGGTCTTTGTTTTTGTGCTGTGGCTGGGTCTGTAATGCTGGGTTTTAATGCCCCAGAGAGGTGGCAGAAATAAATAATACAGGTTGAATCCCAGCCCTCTTTTTGCATCCTTGTGGCTGAAAGGGATGTGGCAGAGGTCCCATGCATCCAGTTGTGCACTGTGCATCCTTAACTTCTGAATGCACAGTCGGCTGCCACATTGGCATGCCTTTAGCCATGACAGAAAGGAATGGCTTGTCAAAGGACTGACAGCTCTGTCAGTGCTGAGGTGATAATAAGTCTTGGCATTTCTCCCCTCTGCATTCTGGCCTTGCGGACTGTGAGTGCTTTGGGTAAAGACTATGTCTCTTCTGTGTTCCATGCAGTGCCCGAAGCGCCGCTGGCATTTAATGTTTAATAAATAGTATTATATTTTTGTCATAGTCATCTGTCTCTTGCTTTTAAGGGAAGGTCAGAGAAAGGCGCTAGACCTTGCTCTGTTGATAGGTAATACGAGAGAATAAATCACCTCCCCAAATGGAAAAGACACAGCCATTTACACGTAGGATCAAGATGTGTTATGGCTTATGCAGCTTATGCATGACAAGTGACTGCTGTGTAGGAAAACATAATGTGCAAAGAGGCCCTTGGCTGAGGGGTTTTGTGGCAGTCCATCGATTGGTGCCTGCGCTGCCTCAGAAAAGAGTTAAGGATAGAAGGGCGGAGACCTTTCCCTCCCAGCTATCTCACACAGTGTTCTTTTTTTTTAATGGTTCTGTTTTAGCAACCAAACTTCAAGCAGAAATTTGTTGCCCTGCTGAAGAGATTTAAAGTGACTGATGAGGTAAGAAATTATTTTATCTGCCCCTGTCAGATGTGTTGTCAGCTTGGTTTCTCTCTTTTTGGCCACCACCACCCCATCCATAATGCACCTGCCTGTAAGAATAAACCACTGTACAACATCTCTTGGGTGGATACTAACCCCCATTTTTCAGGGATGCACTGTGATCTTTGTGCCATAGATGTAATATTTGTTTTCTTTGGGAGGTGGGGCCAAGTGCTGGATGTCTGGTCACAGAGACGGGATACATTCATTTTAAATCGATCCTTTTAAATATTTTTATATTTCTTTCTAGCCACCATGGCCTCCCAGAGTAGTTTACAGAAATTTTAAAAAGCTACAGATTGTGTTAAAATTAAGTGCTGTTGCACTGGAAACTAATAATATACCTGTGCATGTTACTGTAACCTGGGATGAGGCCACAGCTCAGTGATAGATCATGTGCTTTCCTTCATATAAAGTTGTAGGTTCAGTCTCCATTATCTGTTCTTAAAGAGTCTTGGGTTGAGACCTTGACGAGTCACCACCAAGCATAGTGGACCAGTCTAAACTAGAAACACTGTAGCGGTAGAAAAGAGCAATAGCACCATAAAGACTAACAACATTTTTGGCAGGGTATGCACTTTCGTGAGTCACTGCTTGCTTCTTCAGATACAGCTAGGATCTGTCCTTATATCTTGGAGAGTGGAATGATTTCAGATGCCGAATAAAAATAGCAGACAAATGGAATTAGGTGTGATAAGCAGAGGGGTAGTAGGCATGGAGAAATCAGCATTGGTAATGAGGCAGGAAACCTAGGTCTCGATTCAGTCCAGGAGGATGCATTGTCTTGAGCTTCATTATCAGTTGCAGTTCCGCAGTCTCTCTTTGTCCAATGTAGAGGGTGGCAGGGCACTGTTGACATGTGATAGCATAAATCACATTAGAGGATGAGCAGGAGTATGAACCTGAGATTGTACAGCTGATGTTCCTGGGTCCAGTGATGGTGTTGCTCAGATCTATATGACAGCAATCTCAGTTTGTGGCAGGCCTTAGTACCAGAGTCCATGTTACTGTTAAGTAGTTTATAATTGTGAGTGTGAAGTTGTTTTAGGTTAGCAGGCTGTCTGAAAGCAAGAAAAGGTCAGCTCCCCAGTGCCTGTGTGAAGGAAGTGACCCTATCCAGCATGAGTTGTAGGTCATTAATAATACGCTGACTTGAGTTGTGAGCTGTTACGTGACCACCAGTGGTGTTCTGTTATCATTTGCTTTGGGCTTGTCTTGTAGCAAGCTGTCCCTGGGTATCAGTCTGGCCTTTCCAATCATCTTACTTACTGTATCAGGAGGATATTTTAGTTGCAAAATGTCTGCTGTAAATCCTTCAGGTGAGTATCTCTGTCTGAGGGGTTGGACCAGATGCAATTATAGTGTAGGGCTTGGCTATAGACAATGGACCAACTACAGTGCCTGCTGTGACAATGTCAGGGAGTGCACATTTCTGTCAGAGAAAACAGAATTAGCTGGTTCCAGTGCCAGGTTGGTATGGGCAGTGCCCTGAGGCAGATGAGGCATGGTTAGTATTCAACATGGTTTGCAGAAATAACCGTAGGGTAATATCTCAAATTTACAGTGACAGCACAATTTAGGTGGCATGAGTTTAATGCTACCCCTGGAGGCAGTGATAGCAACATCAGCAATAACACCTTGCAAGCAGAGAGTCATGGAACTACTTTAATTGCAGTTGTTCTCTGCATTTTATTACAATGCATCTTCCTGGACTGAATTGAGACCTAGGTTTCCTGCCTCGTTACCATTTCTGATTTCTCCATGCCCACTACCCCTCTACATATCACACCTAATCTAATCACGCCTGTTATTTACCTGTGATTGTCATTTGCCTGCTGTTGTCATTCAACATCTGAAATCACTCCACTCTCCAAGATATAAGGACAGATGGACTCACATTCTAGCATTAGCCAGCTTGTTGTAGTGGCTAAGAGTGGTTAAGAGAGGTGGTTAAGAGAACCAGGTTTGATTCCCCACTCCTCCACATGCAGCCAGCTGGGTGACCTTGGGTCAGGCACAGTTCTCTCACAGCTCTCTCAGCCCCACCTACCTCACAGGGTGTCTGTTGTGGGGAGAGGAGAGGAAGGTGATTGTAAGCCGCTCTGAGACTCCATCATGTAGTGAAGTGTGGGTTATAAAACTAACTCTTCTTCTTCTTTATCTGAAGAAGTGAGCAGCGACTCACAAAAGCCCATACCCTGCCACAAATTTTGTTAGTCTTTAAGGTGCTATTGGACTCTTGCTCTTTTCTGCTGCTACAGACAGAATAACACAAATACCCATCTTGATCTAGACACACTGTGTATGGCAGCTTAATATGTTGATGTGTTCCTGGCAATGCGCAGATGGGATTTCCAAGGCCCCCCCTTCTCTGCCCCACTCTCATGCATGAGAAGTAGACTAGCTGGGCGCCTCCCTCCCTCCCACGCTTGCCTTGTAGCCAGCGCTTGCTGTTTCCTTTTGAAAATCTTGCTCGGCCCACTTTTATCACTTCCTCGTCCTCATTTAGCATTCACAGCTTTTCTCATTAGTAAAATCTGCGGATGTCATTAACGTGCTGTTTAAAGCCACCATTTTTGGGACCAGAAAGTATTTCCTGCCATACACTTCCCTATGGCCAATATATTTGTCTTTTATTGTATTATTTAGTATCTTTTTTGGTCTGGGTCTTTCTTCCAGCTGTCATAATTAAGGTTTTCAGTGCCAGGTATGGCAGATGCTGTTAGGGGGCCCAGGTTGCCTTAAGGTGGGATTCCATCTGTTTGACTGCATCACATTGATCAGAAGAGTTAGCAAAGGCTGCAGCTGGAACAGGGAGATCGGCTGTTGTGGTCTAGTTACTGAATAGCTGAAAAACACAGTCTTGGAGTGTGGCCAGCACGTCCTGGCTCCAACAGGTCACCGTGTTAGGGGAGCTGAGATAGATCCCCCGCAGAATTTACTTTGCCTTGGGGTGTGTGGTGCAGCCTGCTTTCTAGGTAGAAAATACTCCAGCAATCACAGTCCCTTTCTAAGAAAAACTTGCACTGCCATCCTGGTACCTCTACTAGAGAAAAAGCTCTGTCAGGTTGTGAGGGACTTGTTGTTTAAAAAGTGTTCACCTAACTCCTGAGGCCAAATTCACAGCCATATAGTCTTTTTTTTTTGTCTTGCCTTTTTTAAAACGCCCATCCAGCTAAATGTCTCTTCTCTGCCCCCATCTATTCAGTTCATTTATACCCTGCCTTCTTCCCCCATTGGGTCCCAAAGTGGCTTACATCATTCTCCTGTGAGGTGGGTTAGGAAGTGTGTGTGACTGACCCAAGGTCAGCCGGCGAGCTTCCGTGGCAGAGTGAGGATTTGAGCTTGGGTGTCCCGGATCCTAGTCTTGAGCCTCTATCTGCTGTACCACAACTATTCTCCTCATATTTTATCTTCACAATAACATAAGGACATAACAGGCCTGTAGGATCAGACCAGTGGTCCATCTAGTCCAGCCTCCTGTCTCACACAGTGGCCAACCAGTTCCTCTGGAGGGCCAACAACAGGGCCTAGAGGCTGAGGCCTTCCCCTGATGGTGCTTCCTGGCATTAGGATTCAGAGGTTGACTGCCTCTGCTGGTAGCCACTGATAGACCCATCCTCCCTGAATCTGTCTAATCTCCTTTTAAAGCCATCTATTCCTGTGGCCATCCGGACATCCTCTGGTGGGGAATTCAACATTTTAATCACTCTCTGTGTAAAGAAGTGTTGCCTTTTGTCTGTCCTGTGAGGTCTGAGAAAGAGTGACTGGCCAAAGGCTGCCTGGTAGGCTTTGTGGGAGAATGAGGATTTGAGCCCCATCCTCCTCTAGTGTTCTAAACATGGTCTCTCACTGTCTGTCTGTCTCTGGTTGACTGCAGCAGCGTTTGAAGAGGCAGAACTTTCCAATGCAGTGCTTTTCAGTGCAGTCAGTTCACATACTCATCTGTTGGTCATCATGCCAAGAAATGAAGCCATGTTCACAGCTGTGGTGACTGAGTTACAGGTTGAAGGATAGACAGGTTTTTTGGGGCACAACCCCTGGACTGTGTTACCCAAGGGCCACCCTGAGCTGAATCAGTCTAATGGCTGATGTAGTATCATGAAGTCTCTTGCCCGGCTCAGAAGGCTCATGGGCATGCCCGGTTTCCCAGCCCTGCTGCTTTGAAATCCCCTCAGTTGAAGATGCTAAGGCTTAAACCTAGGAATTTGGGCTAAGTTTCAGCAGTCCCCCTAATGCGTGAGGCTGACCACGTGCATGCCACTGAAGCAACGGGGTAATATAATAGCTGCAGCGCATCTTTTCAGCAGGGTGAACTCAGGTCAGGCCACTCTCACTGAAGCTGACGGAACAATACCCTTGAGGACGAAGGGCTTGCATCAGCAGAGTTCTTGGCGAGCTGAAGAGTTCCTCGGTTTTCTTGCATTCCAGGCAGATGGACAGAACACACTATATGCAGACACCATTTGTCAATGTAAAAGCATATGGGCTTAAACATGGAATGTGTTTTTACACTCTTGCTGCAGAAAGCAGTCGTGCTACTAAGGGCCCACATTTAGACAGGTTGCAGAGAGATCTGTGATCTCCGCAGTTTTTAAAAATCATTTAAAAGCAGCTTTGTGGCAGGTTGTTTGGATTGGTGCCACAGTTCTGGAGGTTTAACCCTCTCCTATGACACCATTTTCTCAATGCAAATCTCTCTTCCTCCCCCCACCTCAGTTGTGTTTTTATCTTGGTTGCAATAGTGCAGCTTTTTTTGGGGGGGGGCAGACGCTACCATTTGTATAGGGAAATAGATGTACTGGGAAATCACTTTAGCTCCGATCTGAATCACCCCTCCCCCCAGCAGCTGATTTTAACTAATTTTAAAAAGGACAGGGGAGCCAATCCTAGGTCTCACTGGGTCTTAACTAAGCTTGAGCCTTCCCCATGGGAACAAACGGACTCTCTACGCATGCAGCAGTTTCATCTAAGAGGCAGAATTTGTATTCTCTTCTTTAATTTTGCATTTTCATGGGTTAAAAGATTGTACTTAGGTCTATTTTTGGGCAGGAACGCACAGGAACGGAGTTCCGGCTGGCTTCTGAGTTGGCCACGCCCAGCAGGAACTCATTAGCATAATAGGCTACACCTAACAGCAGACACTCATTAGGATTGGCTACATTAGGGGTGGCCTAACATGCAAAGAAGTTCCTGCTACAAAAAAAAGCCCTGGGTTTTGACAACAAAGTAAACAGAATACGAAGCAAAAGGTGGGTGTGGTTGGATGACCACACTTTTGGTAACACGTGGGGTGTGGCCTAATATGCTAATGAGCTGTGTTGTCATGGGTGTGGCCTAATATGCTAATGGTTTCTGTTGTTGGGTGTGGCATATTATGCTAATGAGTTCCTGCTGGGCTTTTTCTACAAAAAAAAGCCCTGATTGTACTAAATGCAATTCTCACTGCAAACTCTGTTGAGAGGAGCTGGTTTTGCTGTGACATAGTTCTGTCTTGGAAAGGTAAAGGAAAGAGGTTTCTGAAGAAAAAAAAAATGTTCAGCCTTCTTGACAAAGCAGAAATGGGGTTTCAGGGGTTCTCTTATGAACTTGGAGAGCAAATATGTGTTCCTTCATGGAGTACTGGCTGAACTCTTGGTGGCTGGTCTTCTGCAAACTCCTGTGAATAATTCTGTCTAAAATCTGGTGCCTGCTGCAGAGGCTGACAGATGTTTTGATGTCTTAGAACTGTAGCGGTGACATGCCTGAGTCCCTTTGGCAGAAGGCTGCCCCTAGTGCCACTCCACCCCATTCTGCTGTTTCCCTGTTCTTGGTGCCATACGAGGGCTTCTTTGTCACAAGGGAAAGGGCAGTTAATACCACTTGGGGGTATGCATTTGGCTTTGTCCAAGTTGGAAAAATAGCCAGAAAATACCTTATTGGTATTTATCAGCTATTCTTTCAACCAGATACAGAGAGGGTTATATTTTCGGCTATTGAACATGGCCAAAACCTAATAATCCCCCACAAAATCCGGATTATCCGGGAAAACACAATAGCGACAATTAAATGGTGTTAAAGAGAGTGCACTCTCTTTAAATGCTATTCTCGGTGAAGCTGCAGCTTCACAAACACATCTAAAGGGCCCATGATACCTTTAAATGCCTTTGGCTCCATTATAGCCCTTGAGGACCATTATAGTCAATGATCCCCATAGGCTATAATGAGGAATCTATCTGGGGGTATGTGGGGGTCTGGGGGGGCTAATATTTGAGATAGAGGCTCCATATTTCAGTGTAGCTTCTGGTACCTCTACTCAAAAGATTCCCCATTTTTCCAAAATATTGGAGCAAGAGGTCGAAATTCATGGGCCCCCAAAGAAGTTGCCCCCATCCTCCATTATTTCCAAAAAACAGGGACTGATGTCAAACCAGAGAGTGTCTGCAGTAGAGAGCGAGGGGGAGGCATTTTTGCAGAACCAGCACCACTGTGGCAATGCCAGCTCAACAAATCCAAGCGGGGGGAGGGCAGGTTGCAAGGCTAGCACAGCCAGTGCAGGTACAGAGTGCCCAGCAGAACCAATGCCACCTCAACAAATCCAAGTGGCAGGGTTTCAAGCCCAGAAAAGCCAGCCCATGTACAGAGTGCTCAGCAGGTCCAGCAAAACCAGTGCCTTCCCTTAAATGCTTTCTTTTCCCTCTCCACTGAAAACAATGGAGGGTGGGGGCACCTTCTTTGGGGGCCCATAGAATTGGACCCCCAGATCTAATTTTTTTTAAACTTGGGGGTCTTTTGAGGAGAGGTACCAGAAGCTATGCTGAAATTTTGGTGCCTCTACCTCAAAAAACAGTCCCCAGACCCCTGGATACCCTCAAATAGATTCCCCATTGACTATAATGGTCCCATAAGGTATAATGTAGCTGGAAAAATCAGGATTTCTGGAAAAACCCAAATACAAATACCTTCCTGGTATTGGAATTCAGGTTTTTCGAGAATCCCAATTTTTTTGGAGTCCAACATATCCGAATCCAAAAAAATCCCGATTAGTGTGTGTGTGTGTGTGTATGTGTGCGGACCCCTAAATGCCACTCAAGGTTTCTGTTATCACCAGCGGTATGGTGTTTGGACCCATGTTCTTTAGGTCACAAATGTCCCTCTTCCAAGAATGAAGAAGTGCCATTCTGACTGTTTGCTATTAGCTGGTATTTTTCCTTCTTTGGCTTCTGATTCTACAGGTTTTGGATTCTGATCCAGTGGATCAGACTCAAGAAGTGGAGGAAGACTTGGGTCTCCTTTACGATAGCCTAGAGGAATGCAACAACAGTGACAGTGGTCCTGAGATAGAAGATAACGAAAGCGTCCACAGCACTCCAAAGCCCACCCTAAGGTAAGAACTGGCAGGAGAAACAGAGGCCTAGCTACCTCTGGATTCAGTGCGAAAACTTGGCTTTGCCCATCTCAGGGCGTTGTTTATTCTCCTCCCTCCTCAAAGGTAAGGTAGTCTCCACTTTGAGTCACTGCTAAAAATGGGAAATCTAGTTTCCTTTCCCATAGCAGAGCTTGACTCCTTAATGGTGCCCTAACGCCAGGGTGCCAAAGCAATGACTTATGAGACGGCTTCTGCATTTTGATTCATTTGCTTGGAAAAGGGAGATTTGGGGCTGTAAAACAGTTCTTTGATGGATGCTGATAACTTGAGGCTGACCTTGGATTTGACAGGCTGATAGAGAGCCCTGCGTAAACTGCAGTGGACCAGCAGGGATTGATAGAGCAGCAAAGTACCTCAGTGGGAAACGGCTCCAACTGAAAGAAGGTGTTACTGTTCTCATCCATCCCTCCTTTGTAACTGGCCTTCTTGCCTGTAGAAGCAGGGGAGAGAGAAAAGGGAAGGGAGCAAGAACACTGTTTTGTTGTTAGCAGTGTTTAAATTGCCTGTTATCCTGTGGACCAGGTAGCGTTCTCTGGTGGACCTTTGGGTGATTGTATGGCAATGGGAGAAGTAGAATACGTTTGTGTATATTCCATTTTCTATCTCTCTCAGTCCTTTAGGTTCAATACATGCTCACCTCCAACTATTAGATGCTAGAAGGAGGTCTTTCTCATTGCTGCGGCTGAGAATATTGCTTAGTGGAAGAGTTTTGAGGAAACAGAATGACATAGTTGTGGCTGAGCTGCTAGGAAATTCTTCCTGTATCCTAAACGTTGTGCATGAGTGTGGGGTTGGGGGATAGAAGTGGAAGCCCATCTCAGGTGGTCCTGAGTGCCGTGGGACACAATGGGCGTCCTTCACCTTTGCAAAGAAGCCACAAAGGCTACAAGTCTTCCTACCATATATGCCCATGTATGCTATTTGCAGCTCTTTGGTGATCTTAACGACTCATCGATTTTACTGGAGTTTCCCCTACCTGATCACCTGGAGGCCATTTTTATTCACCATAGGTGACCAAAGGAATGATTCTGAAGCCTGTTGACCTTATTTGTAGAGACAGAGACAGTTCCTGTACAATTCCTAGGAACTTCCTTGATCAGCATCCATTTACCATATATTCTCACTTCAGGCTTCATCAGCCTGATGGCATTACCTGCTTAACTGCTAGAATCAGTTGTGTTGGAGTTGGCAAACAATGGCACTCTTGCTCTGCAGCAAGCTTTTTTTTGTATTGGAAGCATGATTTGGGGGATAAAGATCGGTTTAGATTTGGTGTTCCACATGCATTTGTGTTGCTGCTGTTTAACAGTTATGACTATCAACAATACGATGATACGATACCACAGAAAGCAGCTTCATCAATGTTATACAAAGCAAACAGACCTCGGTGTCAGTCAAGACTAACAACACCATATATAGACTCCACAAGTAAATCTATATGTGTATATTATATCAATGTGCAATAAACAACAAAAATGTAAAACCATGTGTCAATATCCCATTTAATGTCTCATTCAATAACTATATATCTATCATTATGCATTCATCAACAAGTCATCATGTAAGTTTCACAAATTCACAACTGGAAAATCACAAGTATCAGTGGAAAGTCACAAATATCAAAGCAGCCTTGTACATGTGTCACCCAATACTAAGACATATAATCTTTCCCACAAGAGTGGGAAAGTTACACAAAGCAAACAGACCTCGGTGTCAGTCAAGACTAACAACAATAAATAATACCATATATATATATACAGTACTGCTTCTGTATAAATATAGTACAAGGATATAGTACAAGGTATTTAGTAAGTATAAATATCAGATACAGTGGCAAAGTCCATGGTCCACTGGTAAAGTACTGTTTTGCAGTCTTTTTCAAGAGTCACCCACATACTATATGAGACGTTAATGAGATATTGACACATTATTCTTTTTTGTTTATTGCACTCTGATAAAATATACACATACTATATAGATTTACTTGTGGAATCTATATATGGTGTTACTACTCTATTGTTGCTAGTCTTGACTGACACCGAGGTCTGTTTGCTTTGTGTAACATTGATGAAGCTGCTTTCTGTGGTATCGTAATCATTGGTCGATCTAGTCCATTATTACATGCTCCAGCCAGTAGTGAGACTCTGGGGTCTCGTGCAGGGTCTATCCCACCCCTTTTGAACAATAAATGCTTGGAATTCAATCTGACACTTCCTGCTAAGCAGACTGAGCTGTTCCCCCTCTCCCCAGCACTATTTAGGCATTGTGGAGAAGTTTTGAAAGAAACCTTTTTTTCTAACAAGAGGAAGTAGGCCTTCATAAGTACCTCAGCAGTCTTTACACCATACCTGCAAGGCAGGCCAGAGTTATCCCCACAATGGAAATGAGGCTGAGATAGCAGCAGTCCCTTGACTCTATTTATGCCCAAGCTGAGTTTTGAACCGAGCCTTCCCATCTCATTAATTTACCCATGGTTTATTTTATTTCGTTTGTATTCTGCCTGCCATCTGTCATGGAATTTGAGGCAACCTAGTCCCCAGAAGGTCTCCCTGTGCAGCCATTGACAAGATCTTCGACTTGCTTAGCTTCAGCAAGGTTGCCGTAGTCCTTATCCTGGGCCAGTCCAATGATGCCAGGAGCCTGTGCTGCCTGCTGGAGGGCTCTGTGTTGCAGCATGGCTGCACCTGCCTCTTCTCCGTCATAGCTGGGGGTGGGATGCAAGCTGGAAGTGCCTGAGACGTCTCCTTCTTCCTCTTCTGCCACACAGTGGCAGCAGCCTGGAATTGTCGTGCACATTGTCCTTTCTGGTGCCTGGCATTTTAAGTCAGTTACCAATTAACATTTTCCCAGCTTATTTTTCAGTTGACTTTGTGCTTTAGGCCCCTTTGGCCACTGTCCCTTTGTGATACACATGCTTCCTTAAATGTACAGCAGTGCTCAGTCTTGTTTCTGATGGTTAAGTTGTGTCCGTGGTGGTAAGAAGTGTTGTTTCTGATGCAGAAGGAAGTGGTGTGGAAAGGACAGTCAGGACCAGGGCCTCCCCACCTTTTTGAGCCTGTGGGCACCTTTGGAATTTTGACACAGGATGGTGGGCACAGCCACAAAGTAGTTGCCACAGGAGGCGGGGCCAACTGCAAAATGTTGGAGTGAGATGGTGAATAACTCATAGTAACTGTGGCGGAACTGCCTTCTCTGGCCTGCAGGCCCTATTCCACCCTGCCCTTCTAGAGAGAGCCTTTTCTTCCACTCTCAGGATAGATTGCCACGACCACCTGACCTTTGTACAGAAGCAGGTAGGGTTAAGACTCCCAGCTTCTCTTCCAAGATCTGAGGCCTTGCCTCTGTGTCTCCCACTGCCCAGTGCCTGGTCACGCTGGGGAAGGATTACTGCCTTGTGTGCCCCTGGAGGAATAACCACTTGCCAGCTGCCTGCCTTCCTCCTGGAGCTCCTTTTAAAATAGTGTGTCTGAGATGATGGAGGTCTGTGTGGTACAGAGAACCACTACCAGCATTAAAAGTTATAAAATATTTATTAAAAGAGAATACGCATACTTTTAGCACAGCACCAAATTGAGCAAAGGATACAAAAGAAATAGGTAAAAAGCACTTTCTCTCTCTCTCTCTCTCTCTCTCTCTCTCTCTCTCTGTATACATGCCCTATCAACTATTGAAATATAGGACAGGCTCTGTAGCTTCAAGAAGTTACAGATCTCTACATAGTTACCATTATCTTGAGGCTTCCTTCAGCTCTCCTTCAGCTCTCCAGGCCAATCACATGGTCATAGAATCATAGAATATTAGAGTTGGAAGGGACCTTGTGGGTCATCCAGTCCAACCCCCTGCACTCTGCAGGAATATACTGAAAGATAGCCCTAAATACCTACAACATACCCGAAAGATGGTCGTCCAGCCTTCGCTTGAAAATGTCCAGCAAAGGAGCATCCACCACCTCCCGAGGCAGACTGTTCCACTGCTCAACCACTCTTACAGTTAGGAAGTTTCTCCTGATATTTAGCTGGTAACGACTCCCTTGTAATTTCCACCCATTAGATCTAGTCTTGCAATCCGGAACAAGAGAGAATAGATCTGCTCCATCTTCTACATGACAGCCCTTCAAATACTTGAAGACTGCAATCATGTCCCCTCTAAGCCTTCTCTTTCCCAGGCTAAACATACCCAACTCTTTCAGCCTTTCCTCATAAGACTTGGATTCCAACCCTCTCCCCATCCTGGTTGCCCTCTTCTGGACATGCTCGATCTTGTCAACATCCTTCCTAAAATGTGGTGCCCAAAACTGGACACAGTACTCCAGGTGGGGCCTGACCATAGCAGAATAGAGCAGAACTACCACCTCCCTTGATCTGGACACAATGCTTCTGTTAATGCATCCTAAGATTGCATTAGCTTTCTTCACAGCCACATCGCACTGCAGGCTCATGTTTAGCTTGTGATCAACCAGAACACCTAGATCCCTTTCACATGTGCTGCTGTCAAGCTAAGTCCCTCCCATTTTATATCTATGCCTTTGATTTTTTGTACCTAAGTGTAGGACTTTGCACTTGTCTCTATTGAAATTCATTTTATTTGTCTCAGCCCACTGTTCCAGCCTATCTAGATCATTTTGAAATCCTGACTCTGTCTTCTTCAGAATTAGCAATCCCACCTAATTTTGTGTCATCTGCAAACTTTGTGTCATCTGTGGTCAATAGCTGCCTCCTTAGTTAGGAGTCCTGTCTCCTCTCATGGCCTCAGCACCCAAGAAAAAGAGCCCTCCTTCCTGTTGCAAGGAGTTTTTGTCATATCTCTTTCTCCACCCACTGACCAAGTCACACCATTTCAGAGAAGCATTTCCTAGGGCCTCTTCCTGGAGATTATTCTTGGATCCGTTCTAGCCTAAAGCCCTCCAAGTCTGTGTTCCCTACTTGAAGAAGGGGAAGAGCTTGACCATGCCATTGTCTTTAGCTAGACCTATTAGCATATCTTGAGAGCCCCTTGGACTGCAAGAAGATCAAATCAGTCAATCCTAAAGGAAATCAACCCTGACTGTTCCCTGGAAGGCCAGATAATGAAACTGAAGCTCAAATACTTTGGCCACCAAATGAGAAGGGAGCACTCACTGGAGAAGACCCCGATGCTGGGAAAGATTGAAGGTCAAAGAAGATGGGGACGGCAAAGGATGAGATGGTTAGACAGTGTCATAGATGCAACGAAGATGAAATTGAGCAAACTTCAGAGGATGGCAGAAGACAGGAGGGCCTGGCGGGATCTGGTCCATGGGGTCGCGAAGAGCAGGACTTGACTGTGCGACTGAACAACAATTAGCCTATCTTAAGAAGTAGCTGAGGTGAGCCTGGAAAGCCACTGACTGACTTCCTCCTTCCTGGCCTGGTGTCTGCCTAGAGGGGGAAAAAACTGTTAAAACACAATTTCGCTCCTTGCAAACCTCCCAGGGGGAAAAATGCATTTCTTCACAGAAACTCTTCAACATTTCAGACAGAAGCTCTGCATAACAAGATGCCTTTTAAAATGAATGTATTGCTTTAAAATATTTTCTTGCACGACCTTTGGTCGTGCTGTGAAGATCCTTGTTCTGTGTTGGCAGCTCTTGCCAAAGCAACCTCTACAAAATCTGCACAGCCTGTAAGATCCCCAACAGCCAGTCAGAAGTTCTGCTGGGGGGGAAAGGCCCATCTGAACCTGCCCACTTTCAAGAAACACTTGGTAGGTGCCAGGAAAGGTGTTGGGGGGGGACCATGCTGCCCGTGGGCACTGTATTAGAGACCCCAGTCCAGACTATGCCATACGCATCAAATGGGGAACTATGTCCTCTCAGAACATGTGGCACCTGCACTACGTGGGGGAGCAGAAGGCAGGTCAGACCCGTCCTCCGTTCAGATCCTGTGACTTGGTTGTGCATCAGGGCATGCTTTGAGCCAGAGAAGTGCTGTTCGCATTGTCCCTCTTTGCCTCAGGCTTCTGGTAAGGGCCTAATAGGATATGTGCGCAGGTGGCTTTAAAGCACTGTGTCCATCTAATTATAACCACTCAGTGTGGTGGTCATCGCTCTTCCAGGATAGAAGGGAAAACCTTGGAGGACAGGGGGAAAAGGGAATCGTAATTGTGCTTGGAAAGATGAACATGGGGAAATTTTGAAAATCCCGCTATGAGACACAAAGAGAAGGGGCTGGGGGGGGGGGAGCGGGAGAGGTAGGGAAGGGGAGGACAACACAACACGTGGGCTTCTTCTCTCCCCAGAGGCATTTCATAGTGCAGGGTGTAGCGGGGGGGGAGGATGGCAGGGAGTTGGGGGAAAGAATGCGTTTGGCAAAGGCAGTGGTGGCTCTTCATCCTCTTGGTACATCTTCTAACATCCTCTTCTTGGTCCTCTCTGAATTTTCAGTTTCCTCATTTCCTTCTTTCCAAGCAGAAGATTTGTGACTCCTTTTTTGTCCCTGCCTCAAGGTAAAAGTTTTTTTTCCCCTTCAAGAAGAATAAGAAGAAGAGTTGGTTTTTATATCCCTCTTTTTTCTGCCCAAAGGAGTCTCAAAGCAGCTTGCACTCACCTTTCCCTTCCTCTCCCCACAACACGCACCTTGTGAGGCAGGAGGGGCTGAGAGAGTTCTGAGAGAACTGTGACTGGCCCAAAGTAACCCAGCAGGCTTCATGTGGAGGAGAGTGGCATCAAACCCGGCTCTTCAGATTAGAGTCTGCTGTTCTTAACCAGTGAGGGAGGAGCAACAGCCTCCATGTTCAGAGGCCATAACCAAATGGAACCAGCACTTCCAAGTTCTCTGTGAGCGTGTGTGTGTGGAAAGCATCATGTCTGGTTAAGCTCTCCATTGTTATTCAGGGCCCGACTGGACATGAGAATGCCACAGGGCCACCACCATCCTATTGAAGCCTAAAATAGGTAACGTAAAAATGCCCATTTTAGGCTTTTAAAATAGTGGCAGCGGCAGCCCTGTGGCAGACATGAAGACGCCGTCTCATCTGTTTTATGCCTTAGCATCCTGTAGTTTGGGAGCTCCCCAGTTTCCCAGATCGAGGATTCCTGTTTGCCTGCGCAGAGAGGTTCTAGTTGATGCAGGAGGAAGGGCAGGGGGGGCAACAACCTTTCCTGGCTGGGAATAGAGGCGCTCTGCTCTCTTGCATCCAATGTTCCCTCTAAGCTGTGGAGTCTTGTGAGCCAAAATTCTACTTTGTGAGCTACTGGCATTGAAGTTGTGAGTGAGCGATTTGGCTACTGCATTAATTAGTGTGCTCTGGAGCCATCCTTCCTGAGCTGAGACAAAAATGTGTGAGCTGGAGGCTAAAGGATTGTGAGCTAGCTCACACTAACTCAGCTTAGAGGGAACACTGCTTGCATCCCTTCTGTACTCAAGGGTTTTTTTGTGGTTTTGTTCTTTAATGCTGCTCACCAGGCCCTGCCCCTTCTTTGTCTGTCTTTTTGTATCACCATAAAGCTTCCGGGCTCTGGTGGCGGGTTTGCCCGTGGGCGCAGAGGCGGAGGAGGGCTTTGAGCTGGGGTCACGGTGACTTCACTTCTTCCTCACTTCTCTTTCTGTCTGTCTGTCTGTCTGTCTGTCTCTCTGTCTGTCCGTCTGTTTCTTCTGCAGGCGCTTCTTTGAGGGCGTCTCACACTCTGGTTCCCAGACTGAGATCAGCAGTCTGCACGGCCAGAAAGGGCAGGAGCGAGAGTCGGGCAGCCCTGTGAGTTACTCCTCCCGCTTCCTTCTTTCCCTCCTGCTCCTCCTTCCCCTGCGAGCAGAGCCTTTCTGTCTGGGCCTCCCCGCCAGAACCTGAGAGTGCTATCGGGAGCAATCCCTCCTGTGTTTCTTTCTCTTTCTCCTGTCTTTCTCTCGTGAGCGGTCCAGAGCAGGCCAGTTGGACGCGTTTGCTCTGCCGGGGCCACCCTGGTCCCTGCAGCACCAGGGGCCAGTGGTCTCCCCTCCTGGGGCGGCTTGGTCAGTGTGCGGGGAGAGCGTTTGTTTTGATGTTTCCTTTTCCTTGGAACCATCCTGCCGTCACTCCCTGCTTGCGGGATGCGTGGATCAGAGATCCTCACTTCTAGTCTGATTGTTTCCCCCCCCCCACCTGCCTTCCCACCCTCCTCCACTCGCCCAGGGAGAAGCAGAGAAACGGAAGATGGGTGCTCCCCGCGCCCAGGATGAAGCTGCTATGGAAACAGCGGCGATGGTAAGTCCAGAATGCCAGGTTAAGGGCATGGTCTTTACCTTTTCCAGTTGCCTCGTTTTGCTTGAAGGTAGATCTGAATGCTGCTCAGTTTGGGGAGACTGAATATTTTCATAGAACACATTTGTTCCCAGTAGTCTGTACGTAAAAAGGGTTTGCCAGACACCTGTCAAGCACTTGCGCGTGAAGCTGATGGGTGTGACCAGATTTAGGCTGCTTGGGGGGCTTTACCTACTTTGCATGGGGTGGGGGGGAGGTTGTCATGGGAGACAGGAGCCTGCCTTTCCCAGGGACCACAGCTGTGCCCTAACAGTGGCGACATGGGTTTTCCAACACATGTCAGTATGTCGCTTTGGCTCCAGCCCTGCTTGTTTATGTTGCACTTCTGCAGTCTGAACACACGAGGGCAGTGTGACGTACATCTGTTGCTAGCGTTATCTCAGAGGTCCCCAACGTTTTTGGTGGAGTGGTCCAGAATCCCAAAATTACTTTCTGTGGCTGCCCACTTAGAAACACCCAACATGCACAGATCAATAAAACTGCAAAATCCTGGGACCCACTTTCACAGGCTTTGCAACCCACTTTTGGTCAGGACCCGAAAGGAAACACTGGTAGGAAGCACAGGCTGGGGAAAACGGGTGCGTATAGCAGTGTGATTGTTTAAAATGGTATCCTCTGCACCAGTATCATTCTCGTGGGTCCATTTAATGGAAGCTGTGTCCTGCTAGCCAGCTGACCTGCGTGGCTCAATCTGTGGCTCGGTTGCATAGCATGTGCCTTGTAGAGCCATGAAACCCACATTGCCCTCCTGGATCTTCCCACAACTGTCAGGGTCCTGAAAGTGTTGGGCCACCAAGAAGTAGGAATGTCCCCAAGAAGTAGGAAATACTTCTCTTTCCTTCTCCTTCTGGATGTGGCCAGTAAATCTAGCAGATGTGTCTGAAAACTTGTATATAGTCATGGTACTGAGTGTGTAGAGAAAGCCGAGGAGCAGACAAGAGCCTAATTTGGAGGAGATGGGAAAAGTGACTGTGTACTGTGTGGTGAAGTAACCAGCTTTCTGGAAGCCTCGGGGGTGGGGGGGGGCTGCCAAGTTGAAACCTCCACTTGATGTTCTTTTAGGGCTTAAAGCCCCCCCCCCCAATACTTTCTGTGCACCCTCTCAGGAATTGGAAGTGGACGAATCCTGCCCAGGAACAACTGAGACATCCCTGAAGGACAGCAGTGTGGACAGACTAGCCCAGCTGAGCAGCACCAGTAAGCCTGAGTTCCCAGCCACTGTCTCCCCCAGGTAAGGAAGGTGTGGTCCGTGTTCACCGGCCTGATGGGGAATAGTTGCCACACTGGCCACATGCCAGAGGATCAGAGTGTGCTGGTTTTGTCTGCCAGAGACCCACCAATATGGGAAGCTCCCTTGGCAGCTTTGGCTGAGCTATTGTCTTTCTGGCCATCTTGCCCTATGAAGGTAAATCACTGAAAGCGCTGAAATTCAATTAATTGTAATGAACTCCATCTGAAAGGGAGTCATCAGGAAAGCTTCTAAGAACATAAGAAGAGCCCTGCTGGATCAGATCAGACGCCCATCTAGTCCAGCATCCTGTCTCACACAGTGGCCAGCCAGTTCCTCTAGACAGCCAACAGCAGGGCATAGAGGCCGAGGCCTTCCCCTGATGTTACCTCCTGGCTCTGGGACTCAGAGGTTTAGTGCCTCTGAATGTGGAGATTCCTCTCAGTCACCATAGCTAGTAGTCATTGATAGACTTATCCTCCATGAATCTGTCTGATGCCCCCTTTTAAAGCTGTTTAATCCTGTGGCCATCACTACATCCTCTGGCAGTGAATTCCACATTTTAATCACTCTCTGTGTAAAGTAGTGTTTCCTTTTCTCCGTCCTGAATCTGCTGCACATCAGCTTCATTGGATGCCCTTGAGTTCTAGTATTTTTTTTTTGGGGGGGGGAGTTTCTCTTTGTCGACTCTCTCCACTCCATGCATAATTCTGTAAACCTCTGTCATGTTTATTTATTTATTTATTTATTTATTCTTTAGATTTGTATCCCGCCCTCCCCGAAGGCTCAGGGCGGCTAACAAGGGCATAAATGCCAGATTAAAACAGTAAGAACAGTATAAAAATACAATAACACAACATAATACAGTTATTAAAAATATCGGCGCTCCAATACTCACTCAATAATCAATACTATTTCTAAATACCTAAAAAACCACACAAGCCATGTACTAACAGGTGTGGGCTTCTTCTTTTTTTGGCCAATTTTCCTTCCTGGTTACAGTCTGCCATTAATGCTTTCCCAGCAGAGTTAAGGACATGAGTGAGAAACAGATGGCTTAAACAGAAACACAATAGACAAAAAGCTGTATCACACCATTCCCCATCCCCAAGGAGTTCACCATTTTACCTCTGGATGTTTTGCTGTAGAAATCTGCTGCTAATACTTTGAAAATGTTGTCATTTGCAGTGTTACGGTATGATAACCCAAATACAGCAAATAAATTAGCTAGGCAGATTTCTGACTTCTTAAAAATTTACCATCACATTATGAATGGAAGAAAACAACACTTCTCGAAGTACACAGCTGCCAATATTTACTTATTCCCCCTTAGTCGTCTCTTTTCTTAATTGAAAAGTCCCGGACCCTTCAGCCTTTCCTCAAAAGGAAGAGGCTTCAACCCCCTCATCATCTTGTTTGCCCTCCTCGGTACTTTTCCCAGCTCTGCGATGTCCTTTTGGAGATAGGATGACCAGAACTGTGCACAGTATTCCAAATGAGGCTGCACCACGGATCTTTACAGGGGCATTACAGTATTGGCCCTTTTATTCTCAATCCCTTTCCTAATAATCCCTAAAATCCTTCCAGTGCTAGTTTGGCACATGGACATTGGTGCAGGAGGACACACTCAGTTGATTTCAATGGAGGTGATGAGACCTGCCAGACACTTGAATTGCCTTTTTGGAGCCTCCTGAAAAGGAGTCCCTGTGAATATCATGGGCTGGATGGTCTCTCTCTGGACCTCTGTGCATCACTGCCGACTTGCACAATCCAGCTGTTGTGGTTGCTCAGTCGCTAAGGAGAGCGTTTCCCTGGGGACCCCTTTGTTCACTTTGACCTTTCTGTCTTATAGCAAAGTTGAGAACAAGCCGCTGTGGCGACCCCGCAGCATGTCCGTCAAGGACAGGCAGAACTCCAAGGGCCAGGCGGACCGGACCAGCAGCCTGGACAGCGAGAGCTCCCCAGACTCACGGCAGAGCACTCAGGTCAGGTTGTGGGGGAGCCCTCTTTTTCTTGGGATTGACTTGACCCCCATAGAAAGGGATGGATGGGCAGAGGGGTGGAGGAAAGAGGCAGCTTCTTGCTTTTGCGGGGGGGGGGGGAACTCTTCCATGTTTTCAAATCACCTGCCAGCCCAGGAGAGGCACGGTGGGTTTCATGCTGCTCTGAAGGCCGCTTTGCTTGGCTGCTGCAGGTGCCCCGCAAGTCTGTATATGATCAACTGAACCAGATCCTGGTCTCGGATGAGCAGCTGCCAGAGAGCATCATCCTGGTGAACATCACTGAGTGGCAAGGCCAGGTAAACACTGGATCGTGTGCTGGGTAGGCAGGTAGGGCTTTGGTGCATCTTTTGCATGCCTTACCTGGTGACAACGCATCTGATCCCGACCCCCTTGTTGCTATGACCAAGACCAGCCCTCCCAAGATCAACCTGTGCAGTCCAGAGCGCCCCAGCAGGGAGGAGGGACGCGGCGAGGCAGCCACTCCTGATAACTCAGCTGAGCCAGCCAAGCAAAGGTGAAATATTGCTGGGGTGGTTCTCCTGTTTCACTGGGAGAGTTTGGTAGTCCTCAGATTCTAACAAAGGATTAGATAGAATCATATAAAAATAAACAGAGGTAAATAAATAAAATAAACAGATGGCCCAGGCTAACCATGATAGCATCAGATTTTGGGAGATAAGCAGGGTCGGCCCTGGTTAGTGATTGGATGGGGGAGACCACCAAGGAAGTCCAGGGTCCCAACCTCTGAGTGTCTCTTGCCATGGAAACTCTCCAGGGTCAACCCAAGTTGGCTGTGTCTGGACAGTACTTATAAAGGTAAAGGTTCCCTTGCTCGAAAGCCAGTCGAATCTGACTCTAGGGTTGCGGTGCTCATCTCCGTTTCCAAGCTGAAGAGCCAGCGCTGTCCGAAGACGTTTCCGTGGTCATGTGGCCGGCATGACTAAGCACCAAGGCGCACAGAACGCTGTTACCTTCCCACCAAAGTGGTACCTATTTATCTACTTGCAATTTCTTGCTTTCGAACGGCTAGGTTGGCAGGAGCTGGGCCAGAGACAGGAACTCACTCCGTCATGCGGCACCCACCAAATATATCGATAAAGCGATTTTAAAAATAAGAAATTTAGAATAAGATTTTGGTGTGGTGGAAGCTTATTTTCAGAGAAAGGAGACACTTTTCCGTTTCTGTCAACTTCAGAACACATGAACCTGGCAGCAGGGCTGGGCCAGACCTTTTCCCAAGACACCGGAAAGTGGCTGTCAAGTCACAGGAGCCGATACCGGGTTAGATGGGTCAGTGGGTCTGCTTCTGTAGAAAGCAGGCCCTCATATTCTTATTTTTGGCTTTGTCTTGGCAGTATCTCTGTGATCAGCTCCAGGAACACAAGCAGCCCATCGTCTCCACCTGCTCCATGGCGGATGTCCAGGCTGCCTTCAACACTATTGTTGCTCGCATCCAGAGATAGTGAGTACAGCCCGCAGGCAGCATGGAACCAGCTGGTGTGTGCCACGCATTAGCTGTTGCCAGAACACCCTCTCTGCAGTTCAATATCCATAGAGCACGCAGTGATTCCTGCTTTCTCCTAGGGAATTCTGCTCAGGCCCTGTATCCCAAAGAGGCATTTACAGAGACTGTTTCCCCATCTTTGGAGCACATGCTTATCCCAGCTCCATCAAAAGTCTGAGTCTGGATGGTTTTCTAGGTTGACCGAAGGCTCTGCCATTAATCCAGAATCTGTGAACACTTGGAGGGCGGGGAGAGGACGCCGTGCATGTTTTGCTTTGTTTTTCCTGTTCTGGTGCTGCTTCGCTCTGGACCTCTCAGCATCTCTCTTTCTCCGGCAGCTGCAACTGTAATTCCCACATGCCTCCTCCTGTGAAAGTGGCTGTGGCGGGGGACCAGAGTTACCTGAGCATCATCCTGCGCTTCTTTGTGGAGCAGCTGGCGAGCAAGACCCCCGACTGGCTCAACTACCTCCGTTTCCTGGTGGTGCCCTTGGGTAAGTCTTGACGCAGAAAGGCCAGAGCATTCTGTTAGCCTAGGGCACTGATGTTGGTTGACTGAGTGTGGTTTTATAATGATCTATTTTAGAACAAGAATACGCTCAAGGCGGGGGTTCCACTTAAAACTTAGTATCGTGCCCAATAGTGATGGGTGGCCCCATTATGTGGATCAGAAAAAGTCACCCAGGGCTGAGATACATATTCCTGCAAACCCAGGGAAACCTCCAGGGTGGCAGAACACCCCCCCTCCCAAGTTGGGTGGGTCAAAAAGCTTAAAAAAACCCCAGACATGCAACTTCATCAGGTGCACAGACACTGGTTGCATGAGATCTCACAAAAACCCATTGCCAGGATTTCAGTTGCCATTTTGGGCCGCCAAGAGAAACCAAAGCAGTGAACAGACATCTGCCATGTGGGGACTACAGAGACAAGGGAGGACTTGAGGGTAAAGAGAGCGGAAAGGAACATGGCGGGGGGCAAGGCAGAAGCAAGGCGGTGAAGGGTAGGCAGGAGGGAAGACTGAGAAGGCGGGAGGGGTGTGTGGAATGGAGGTGGAGGCAGCAGGGACGCGGGGCGAGTGCCGTGGGGGATACGGGAGGGGGCAGCAGATGGAGCTAACTGACTGGATGGCCCTGGCCCAGTCACAAGCAGACCGCCTGAGCTCCCTCACACACTCGCAGCCTAACCTGCTTTACATCATTATGGTGAGGACGAAACGGAGGAGGAGAGGAGAACAACGTCAGCTGCTTTGGGTTCCCAGGGGGAGAAAGGCGGACTATAAATGCAGCAAGTGGATAAATAAATGGTGGAGATGCTGGGGAGGAGGGACTCCCTCTCCTTCACCTGTTAACCAGCTTGCAGAGCTACTTTCCCCATAAAGATCCGTCCCCACAGGCAAGACTTTTCTACAGATTTACACAGAAGTAACTGCCTTTCCGCTAAGGTCCCACTTCTTTGTTTCCTGCCAGTTAATTATCTCCTGGGCTTCCCTGACTGGCTGTTTTTCTCCCACCACTCATGAACAAATGGATACTCCTCAGCTCCTGTTTCTTATTTTGCTGGGCTAAAATGTACAAACCCCCCCCCCCTTAATTCATCCTCCTCCCAGCTGATAATTTATAATTTATAATTCATTCATGAATGCTACAAGAGGGACCAGCAGTTGCAGGGGAGAAGAGACTGCAACTAAGCAGGAAGGAGATGGAAAAGATGACATTTTAAAGGGACAGTAGCCTTGGGAAGCTTTAGTAGTGCTTTGCTATTGTGCTGGTGCTCCAGTGGTTTCTAGTTTTAAAAAGTTGCCACGGATCAGAGAGAAAATTGCTACAAAGAGAAGGCGGAAACACACCAAGGATATTGGAACATCTATCACTTGGACTGTCCGTAAACATTGAGGGAATGAATCAAGGCAATGCTAAGCTGAAATGGCTGTTGTGGAATCAACCAGGACTGTCTTGTCAGCTTTTCCAAGGATGGAAAAGAAAACCTGGGCTAGAGAGGCGAAAGACAGGCTAACCGAAATAGGGTATGGCTGTGGGTCACAGACACAATGGGGGGTTCTACTGTGTGTGTCCCCCCACACACACACTCTCTTTAATGCCTCCGTTTCCTCTGTGTCATTCCCAGGCTCTCACCCTTTGGCCAAGTACCTTGGTTCTGTGGACAACAGGTACGGCACTTTGTTCCTGGACACAGCGTGGAGGGAGCTCTTCAGCAGAGCGGAGCCCCCTAGCTCAGGTAATAGCCCAGGAGACAGGCAGGAGCACCAGCAGCCATGGGAAAGCAACTGTGCAGAAGGGGACTGTAGGGGCTTTGCCCACTCTCTGCATCGTCTAACACTTCTCTTTGTCCCCCTCCCAGACACCGTGGATGTCCCTGGCCGGCTTGCCCAGTTCATTGCGGGTGCCAGCCTGTCCCACCAGCTGCCCATTTCTGAAGCCATGTTAACCTACAAGCAGAAGAGGTAAGGGGGCCGGCATTCTTCCTCTTCTACATCCATCCCTCCCCCCCCAGCTCAGCAAAAGATGTGGCCCCACACTGTACCCCTCGTGAATCTGTGCTGGACCTATCCAACACGGTTTCCGGTTGCTCCCAGCAGTTCCCCAAGGGGGTCGGGCAGTGAGACAGGCAGCCAAGGGAGCTGGAGGCTACAGACCGTTGCCTCTCCATGCATTCATCAGGCCACTTGGGTAACCTTGTAAGTGGGCTACTCTGTGGCTCTGGTTTGCCTGAACCTCCCCTGAAGCACAGGACAGCAGGGTGCAACAGACGGGCAGTTTTTCCTCTCCTGGCGGGGAGAAGGCAGTTCTGTGCCTGCATAAAGGCACGTCCAGACGGTGACTTTGGGAATTGCAAGTGCTGTTTCTGTGCTTCCTCCTGCCACAGTTCAGGTGTGCGGGGTACTTCACTCCCTGCTGTTCTCTGCTTGCCCCTACAGCCAACAGGGATCGGCACGCAGTACGTACGGCTGGCTTGCTGCATTCACTGCAGGGGTGCCTGGGGAAGGAGGGGCGAGCACCTGCTTTTCTGCTGCTCCCATGCCCCATCCATGGAGAGGCTTCCAAGATCTAGACATCATGCCCGTTGCACAGTTGTAGAACAAGAGCTTTCATTCCACCATCCGGGGTTTTGGCCTAGGTGGCAACGAAACGGGCACCAGCTTATACTCGGCTCTCGGTGCCTCCTGTGCTCCCCTCCAGCCAGTTCACCGCTTAGTTTGAATCGCCACTAAAGGGGAGCGGTTGAAGCCTGTGGCAGGGAATGGCAGCTGGCAAAGTGAAGCCTGTAAGCAGACCTGCTGCCGGTTCAGAGGAGCCACCGACTCAGGCCAGGTCAAAGGAGTCTGTTCTAGCAAGGCAGGCTGCCTCATGAACTCATCGCCCACTCTTGTCCTGTGGCCGTTTAAGGCCTCCTGAGACAAACGTGACAGCCGCTGGCCTGCACTGATGAGCAGAGCAACAGGAGAGACCTTTTGCTGGAATAGCCGTTGCACAAAGCAGCCGTTGGCAGCCATGTTGTGCCAGGAGGAAGAGACAAGGGACGTGGCGGTGGGGTTAGCTCTGGAAGTTGCTTCCAGCCGGCCTGTTGACACAAGCACCTGGGGGGGGGGGCATGGGAGCTATGGGGAAAGCCTGTGGTGGGCTGACCTTGTGCACAAGCTGTGGTTTTTGGCATGTCACCTCAAGCATTGCTTTGCAAGACAATTGCCGTGCGGTGCACCCAAAACCTTAGTGCTGCATGAAGCTATGTATGCTCTTGACTAGCTTGCCACCAGCTTGGGGGGCCAATGTGAACAGGCTTTCGCTACGGCTTCCCCACACAGCCAGGGGGTTGTCCAAGCAGGCCCACAGGTGCCTGTGTCAAGAATCTGCGCGGCTGCAGATCAGGAGTGAGCGTTATCGAGAGAGGGCGCTGAGTGGAGAGAGGGCGCTGAGAGCTCTGGGCTGGCATGTCTTTGGCTTCTGCATGAGCCCACTGCGCTCAGAGCTGACCCAGCAGCATCAGCACCCTCAGTGATGCTCTTGGGGAATGCCAGGGAAGCTGCGTCTGATCAGAAGAGTGTGCCCCCTGCGCCTTCTGCAAGGTGGCGGGGGACAATTGGGGCACATGTCTGAGGACAGTGCACTGCAGGTGCTTTGGGGATCTCAGAACGTCTTGGGCTGGTCTTTATTGCCCTGTGCAGGCTTTGGGCTTCCGGGAAGCAGCTGAGTTTCAAGCACGAGGACTCTCTGGCTGCTTGAATTCCATGCCTTGGATGAGTCATGTGAGAGAGCGGGCTAATGCTGTGCAATCAAAGATACACACAAAATCGCTTAGGCGACCCAACTCAAGAATGGATACGATAGCAGCATATTAAAACCAGTGATTTTTTTAAAAAAATAGTCAATAACATGGTGTCCGCACATAGAATCTATGAAACAGTAGGCAAGACTTGTGCCAAAGGTCTAGAACTAGAAGTAGGCCTCGGCACTGTTTCCCCCTTAAAAATCAGCAATCGCACCTTCCATTTGTCTAAGTGATTGCAGTAAAGTAGACCAGAAGCCTTCTGCAGCTGTAGGACGCCACTCCACTGGCAACCGATCTTCATGCAGTTGCAGTTCTTCCCTTAACACAGTGGTTTTCAGACCTGTTTTCCAGGACTTCTGGGGTTCCTCAGTGCTGTGGCTAATAATGACAGACAAAATCCCACTGAAAGGGAACATTCCTGCCCTAATACTCTGCAACATGCAGCCATAGGAGAGCATTGTGTGCAGTGCTGAGTGCGCACTTCGTTCACATGGGTTGACAGTGAACCCAAGAGGCTTGATCAGTGCCTTCAATAGACTGAGCACACGGCATAGAATGTCCTCAAACATTTTCCACGGGTGTGTGTGCCAGTGCTCAGGGGTTCCTTACAAGGCATGGCATGGAAGGCAGAACTTTTTGATTCCTATATTGTGCCCTGGAATACTTTACAGGTGCTTTTATAATTGATCAGAACAGCACCTAAGCTGCTCTGGCATCAGTCTCCGGTCACTTGTGGAGATGACAGCGGAGCCTCCATGGCTAAGGTAGCAGCATAAGCATTACACGCGCATGCAAACAGAAAAGGGTTCCCGTGTTTTGCAAGCTCCTCTCCGCCATCCTTCTGTGCTTCTGGCTTAGTTTGCAAGTATAAAATTAAGAGCTTCAGAAAGCCACTGCTTGAATACACCAAGGGAAGTCCCATTTATGTCCTCAAGGGTTTTGGAGCCCTCTTTGCTTAGGCAGACCTGGGGTGCTTGGAGGAAAATATCTGGCCTCGTCGTAGCTGTCACGAGAACCAGTGCAGCCCACGCCTTCCTCCATGGAGGAGCGAGCAACATGGGTTGCCTCGGCCTCCTCACTCAGCGCCGTGTGGTGCCTCCCAGCGCCGCTGTCTTAACCGCTTGTGTTCCAGCAGTGCTTATGCCTGTCCCTCTTCTTGGTTTTTTGGCATTCAAGGAAAAGAAGCCTCTATTTTGATTTTTATATCAGGTATTGGACTGTGGCTTGCTGCAGTGTTGCCTTTTCCCGTGTCCGTCCATCTCATCTCTTTGTCTAGGGACAGAACCGATCCCCTCCCTGCCTGCCTTTGTGTGAGGCGGGGGCTGCTGGCTGCTTCTGGTTTGCATGTGTGAATTCCCTGCTGTGGAAATAGAGTGGGGGGGGGGAGGAGAAGGAAGGGGAAAATTCCCCTTTTGAGCTGCATCTGACTCCTGCTGTCCCCCCCCCCCCCGGTACTGTGTGATCCTGTACTCCAGTGTTTGGGGGTGGTGGTGGAGTGCTGTGCTGTGTGAATCAGAAGAACCGGTCCTGCTTCACCCCCCCTTTTTCCTCCCCTGCTCCCACCTCCCAAGAGGAAGAACTCTCATTGCTTGGCTCTGCAATCACTGCTTGTTTATAATGCCAGGCTTTTGCTGGGACGTCTGCAGCCAAAGCCCCCGAGCCAGCAAAAAGCCTGGCCTTTTCTGCTTGTGTCAGATGGCACCTTGGTAGGGGTAGAGCTGCTCCCTTGCAGATTGGAAGGCTCTTGGTGATGTGAGACGCAAGGGACTCTGGGAGGTGAAGCCAGGCGCACGAGCCACGCTTCACAGTTGCCTTGGCAGGCAGAGGACTCTTAACCTTTAAATGCCTGTGTTCCATTTTGCAGCCCAGACGAGGATTCCTGCCAGAAATTTGTGCCATTTGTTGGGGTGAGTATTGTCAGGGGTGGGGACCGTAAATAAGCAGGAGGAGGACTCTCTGGTGGAGTACCAGCCCTGAGGTGCTCTCAGGAGGAGGCTGAACAGGACAGAGGCTCGCCTTCGGAAAGAAAGCCAAAGCCCTGCCTTTAAGAGGTGCAGTTTCCATTGCTGGGCTGAAGGTCGGAGGGAGGGCGCTGAAAGACGACCCTGGGCTCAGCTCTGATGCAGAGTTCTCCCTTTCTTCTCTCTTGCTTGGCAGGTGGTGAAGGTGGGGCTGGTGGAGCAGTCCTTCAGCACTTCAGGTGAGCAGCAGCCGGGGCGGCAAGACGGGCCCTCCGGGCTCCTGCCAAGCCGGCCTCCCTTTGTTCTCCCCTCCTGCCGGTTCCTTCCTTCGCTAGGGAGGATGCGTAATTGGCCTTTCAGTCGTGAGAGCTCTCCACCAAATGAGTAAAATCAAACAAAATGCAAAACAGGAGATGAAAGCAGGAGACTGTGCAGCAATCAGAACATGCAAGCACATTAACAAACCTGGGAAAAAAATAGCCTGGCTGAATAAACAGGATGTTGTGCTCCATCTAAATGGGCAAAGATCTACGTCCTGGAGCACCTCCTCTGGCAACAGGCTCCACCGCTTGGGGCCTGCTGCAGAGAAGGCCCATTTGGAAGGGGTTGCTAGCCAACAACGCCCCAGGGCCCCAAAATCTTTTAAAATTTTTACTTTATTTACATTCAGCCAGGGGTAGTTTCGTAGAAAAAGAGCTAGGGGAACTCATTAGCATAACTTATTAGCATATGCCACACCCCCTGACATCAGGGGCCCGGCGGTGAACCTGCAAGGCCGGCGGGAGTGCAAGGAAGCCCCGCCAAGGCCCTCCCTGGCCCCAGGCAGGCAGGGGTGGGGAGAGGCGGGGAGGAAGCAACTTACCCTCCCTCTTCTCCTGCCGCCTCCTGGCTGAATGAGGGCCAGAAGCAAGGGGCAGGGCTTCGTCGTGTGCCCCACCCCCTCGCACCTCACCCGGGGGAACTGCGATCCCCCGCGATCCCCCCCGAAATGACCTCTGCATTCAGCTTTCCTCCCCAGTGGGGACCCAAAGTGGCTTCTAACATTCTCTTCTCCTCTGTTTTATCCTGACAAAAACCATGTGAGGTTGGTTAGGCGGAGTGTGACTGGCCCGAGGTCACCCAGCAAGCTTCCCTGGCATGAGTGGGGATTCGAACCTGGGTCTCCCAGATCCTAGTCAGACACTCTAGCCACTGTACCACCCTGGCTCCAGACTCCAGTGGGGCCAGTGTGAGGCAGGCCCTAGAAGACTGAAATCACGTCAGGCAAACGATTGCTCTGTAAAGTGACTGTAGCAGACATTTCATCTCCGAAGACTGAGATGGACTTTATTTTTTTAAATCTTGATAGTGGAAAGGTCAGGGCACAAATGCTTTAAATAGGTGTCTGCGTAGTTCTTCTGAGAGCCCACCAGGCAAAGGTCGTAAAACATTTACACACTTCAAGGCAGTCTGTGCATGGACGACAGAAGCCCACAAGGACCTTGGAGCCTCTCAGGCCTTGTTACATTGAAGACGGGGAAACAACTGATCAGAACTTGAGGCAAAAATTATCATCCCAATCAGAAACAGGGGCACTGCCTCGTTTGCCTGTAGAATTCCTGCATTGCCCATCTGAGGAAGGTGTGACCCCCAGTGGTGCTTACTCTTTTGGCTGTGTGCTGTGCCTGCGTTTCTCATGCGCTGGTGCGTCCCTGGAGAGGAGACTGTCAGGAATCAAAAAGCTCAGAGTGCTCCTGAAAACAGCGGGCTGCCCTAGAGGCCTGCAGTGCCATCTGTGGTCACAAGGGGGCATTGCTCTCTGGAGAAGAAGGGAGGACAGGCCGGCACGCCTGTTGCCCGAATCCATCCATTCTGGGAAGAGTTAGACAATGAGAGCTCACTTCTTCCCCACCAGGAGTTGGGGGGGGGGGCACCCAGGGAGCCTGACTCCATCCTTCGGGAGGCCCTGCTGTCAAGCAACCGGCAGCCAGCTGCCTCCAGTGGGGTCACTTGCGCCCGACCGCAGTCAGGCAGGGACCACCCTAGTGCACGGAGGCCGAGAGGTGAGAACCTCCCCGTTATAACCGGTGTGTCCGTTTTCCTTTTCCTGCAGTTGATTCTGATGATGCCACCATCTGCACCCCCTCGCTACTTAGCTCATCCTCTCCATCCGGCGGAGGGGTCCCCTATACCAAGGAGGTCGTGGGCACCCCGCCGCCCTCCCCATCAGTGAGCAGTGGGCTCTCGGGAGCAGGGTAAGCACCTCTCAGCTACAACCACGGTGGGAATTCTGGCCCGGAGGACTAACAGTTGACCACTGCCAGTGACTTCACTGTTGAATCTTCTGTGAGTGATTCAGCTAGCGTGCTGAGTGCAAGGATAAATAACAGTGAGAGAAAGCAGCTGGGTTTAGAAAGACTGCCCATTCCCCAGAGCAGGAGGATGACGATAGGTCCGTCTGTGCAGTGAGGCTGTGGTGCATAACAGGGCTAGAGCCTGCTGTCGAACATTAGGCTGGGAGATTTCACTGGCAGCATCTGTGCACGAACTGCTAGAAGGGAGTTGAGCGTGGAAGTAGAAAGACAACCGCTTGCATAGTTGGAGACAAATGCTTGCGTGGCAACCTCAGGGGAAGGCCTGGGCCTCTGTGCCCTGCTGCTGGCCATCCAGAAGAACTGGTTGGCCAGTGTGTGAGACAGGATGCTGGACTGGATGGACCTCTGGTCTGACCCAGCTGGGCTCTCCTTATGTTCTTATGATTGCTGTGGGAATGGAGGATGGCAGGGTGAGTTGTAGAGATGGCTGCTCAGATGCGGTATAGTTTGCACTACATAGGTACTGCAGACTGTAAGGGGACAGTGTTTTACATGTTTGAATGCTTACCCTATATTAAAAACTGCAGGGGGAAAATAGCATGTCAGAATGAATGCTAAGTTAGAACCATTCTCTGAATTCCTAGCTTTCTATATTTGGGCAGTTTTTATATGGGACATTTAAACACTAGACACCCCTCCTCCTTCCTGTTGGAAGTGGTTCATTCCAGGAAGGGCTGCACCACCCATGATCCCGCTGATTATGTCTCAGCTCAGAGTTGTCGTAACTTTTTCCCTCTTCCTCCAGCTCTCTGAGTCCTGGTGTGGAGGTGATGGGTCTACAGGTCGACTACTGGACAGCTCAGGGGCCAGAAAAAAGAAAAGAGGCTGACAAGCGGGAAACGGGCATCAAGAACACCCTGAAAAGTAATTTCCGCTCCCTCCAGGTCAGCCGCATCCCCAGCCCCGGTGAGCTGGCCCCGCCCAACACAATGGCTATGACTGTGGTCACCAAGGAGAAGAACAAGAAAGGTACCAGGCCGCAAGCATTCTGTCCGTCCATCGCTTTTGTTCCATTCCTGTGGGCAAACTGGTGGCCGGCTCTTTGCATAGTCTGAGGAATAGGCCAGGCCTTTGACTGTGTGCTGGTTCACCTGTTGCCTGGCCATGCCTCTGTTATAAAATCTATTGTGTTGTCCTTGGTAGTGATGTTTCTGAGCAAGAAACCGAAAGAGAAGGACTTGGAACCCAAGAGCCAAGTGATAGAGGGGATCACTCGTCTGATCTGCACGGCCAAGCACCAAAACACCATGCTGCGTGGTAAGTCGCCTCCCCTGCGCAGGGTTTATCACGGGTGAGTTGTGGTCCTTTCCCTGAACACCTCGCTGGACCGTGATCCCCAGCAGCCCCCCCCCCCGATACTCCAGAAAATGGCCCATCTTTGGCTAAGCTGAACGCCCTCTCCACTACCACAGAAAACTTTAACAAAAGAGTGGTTCCTCACCCCAGCTGTGAGACTGAGCACTTGGTCCCGTCTTCACTCCTGCCACCCCCTGAATATCTTTCTGTCCCCCCTCTTACAGTTTGTATTGATGGTGTGGAGTGGAATGATGTGAAGTTTTTCCAGCTGGCTGCACAGTGGCCAACACATGTCAAGTATTTCCCGGTTGGCATCTTTGGCTACACAAAGAACGTGTGATCGAACGAAGCAGAATGGGCAGCTTGGAAGGGCCGGAGCTCAGCCGCGCCGAACGGAGAGAACACGTTCCCAGCTCTGTCGCTTCTGCTGAAGACTGACTTGCCCCGTGCTGGATCCCCGATCTGGCTGGGGCCCTGCTCGATCCCTTCGCCCCAGGCACGGAGCATCCTGATTTGCTTTACGTCTCACCCATGAATTTTAGTTTAACATGAACTTGGGTCCTAGGGAAATGGAAGAAAAGACACAGCAGGCTTCTCAGCCTGAACGGGAGACTAGAGTGCCAGGCCAGCCTTCTCCAGTAGAGGGGGTCAGGTGGGGCGGAGGCCGAGGGGATTCCTACCGCTCCCTGTGGGGCTTTGTGCCAGTGGCGGCTGGGAACCCCGTCCCCTTCCTGTCACAGGCAAGAAAGGGGAAGCTGGTTTCTTGACATGCTGCTATTTTGTAACTGCTCTAGTAGGGAATATTGTATTAGTGCCCTCCTGTAGGGTTACCCAGCCAAACTCTCCCAGTTGCATTCTGGGCAAGCTGGACCTCTGCCCACAAGTGCTGCTCTGCAGTCACACCTAACAGAGTTCACAGAGGGCTGCTGGGACCTCAGCATCCCGTCTCCTTTGAACACGAAGCAGCTCGCTCTGTCCCTGCTGCGAGAGGACTGGGGGTGTTCAGCTTCATGCTCTCTTGGGATGTGTGCCCGAGCCAGCGCAAGAGGCACTGAGATGGCAGGGGGGAAAGGCACGCGGGTAGGGGCTTCTGTTCCAGCAGCAGGCTCTGAGCTGCTGCATACGGTTCCTACTACTGTGGTTCAAGCAGTGTGTGTGAGTGAGGGGGGGAGGGGGGACAACGGCAGAAGCGTCTCCTGTTCATCGGCTCTGGCCGCACAAGGAGGTGATGGCACATAACTGGCAGGGTTCAAAGCAGCCTTTGGGCCAGGACCTGCTAGAATTCAGCAGGCAGGAGGGGACCCGCTGTTGCAGCTGCAGAAGGGCAAGAGGATGAGTTCTTTGCTATTTTAAAGCACAGTAAGCTGCCTTTTGAGGGAACAGCAGAGAAGTTTAGATGAGTGCTCTTCAGCGAGAAAAAGACGGAAATACCTTATGGGGAGAGGCATACTCCTCCTCAGACTCTTTTGTTCCACCTTTACAGAGGGTCCGGGAGGGGGGCGGGGAATGAGGCTGGGCCATGACAGCCCTGCCCCTCGCCCCCCCCCCCCCGGCTGTACCCCCCCCCGGCTGTACTTCCACTACGTGTCACCACTGCATGTTTGCTTGTGTGCAACAGCACCGCTGTGTCCTCCAGCCTGGTGCCAGGGAGTCCTGCTGCTCATGCCGGTGAGGGGCAGGCCAGGTCCCAGCCCCTCTCCACCACGCCTCAGGCTCCAGCACGGAAGGTGGCCGTCTCCTGTAACGGAAGGAGCTGGAGTCGTACACTCCGTTTGTAACCAGCACCAGCCCCCTAGACCAGCCCTTCTCTCAAACGGCCCCAAGGCCAGTCTCGGGAGCCGTAAGCTGAGCCAAGCCCCACTCCTTGTTGGGCTACCATCGTGGGTCACTTCACCCTGTCAGGAGGGACCAGAGGCAGGCAAGCGGGCAGCGCAGTGGCAGCATCAGCTGTCACAAACCGTAGGATGGGACGGCTGTCGAAACAGGAAGGCGGGCCTCTTCTTCGTCCTTTTCAGAAAGTACGCGCGTGGCTTCAACAAGACAGCCAGAAATCACAGCAAGGCGTCATGAGGGTAGCCTTCTTGTGGCAGCTGCTGGTGCCTCCTTGCCCTCCCTGACCGGATTACACACCCCTTCTTCCTTTCTCTTACACCCCTCCCCCCCCCACAACAAGGCAGGCTCCAAGGCGAGAGCTTTGGCTTTCCTGGAGCTTGTGCCACCAGAACTGCCAAACCGGACCCCCCCCCCCCTTGAAAGTGTATCCTACCGAACTCAAGAGACCTAAACTGTGGTATTGCGCCTGCCTGGCGGACGCAGCTGCTCATGGTTAGGAGAGCAGGGATGGTGGGTTAACCCCATTTTTTACAAGATTCTATTTTTGTTAAACTTTAATGTAAGGTTGCTTTCGGGATTAATTTTAATAAATTAATGCTGGTACCATTGTGACTAGGTGTCTGCTTGGATTTGTGGGTCGGTTTGAAATGCCGGCTGGCTGGCTGTTTGTGCAGTAGGGGTTGGAGTCCATCCAGAGAACTATGGAAATGGTTGAATGAGCTCAAAGAGTCTAAAGCAGCGATACTCACTCAGGAGCCCCAAATGGCTCTGTGACACGGCGCCTGTGGCTCATGCAAGGACTGTGTCCCCAGTGTGGCACCCACTCCGTGTTTCAGGAATATGGGGCAAGGCTATTGCCTGGTGAGGCCAGTGGTTGGCAGGTGGTTCTCACTCTGACACAGCTGCTGTTGAAGAGACTGGAGGCTGGGTAGAGTGCGAGCCTCGTGCCAGGGATGGAAGTAGAGGGCTCATCCTTTCCAACAGCTCCCACCCTTCTTTGTCGTCTCTGCACTCTCATATCTGCATGTGAAGTGCTGCCAGGAGGAGAGCAAGCTGGCCGCAGAGGAGAAAGAGTACAAATGCCGCTGCCACCACTGAGAAAAGTAGACACGTTGATGGGGTCCGAACTGGCAGAGACTGACCAAGAGAGAGATCTTGGGAGTCATAGTAGATAACTCAATGAAAATGTCAAGACAGTATGCGACTGCAATAAAAAAGGCCACCGGGGAGCGGTGGCACAGAGGATTTATCCTCTGGTTATAGTAACATCTGAGCTGAACAGTACGGCTGTCAGTTCTAGCCCCGTGCTGGTGTGAGCTACCAGCCTTGTCCCCAGCTTGCCGTCCACCCAGCGGTTTGAAAGCTTCGGCGAGTAGATAAAATGGGTACCACTCCTTAGAGAGGGTGGGCACACCAAAAAAAAACCCTGGTGGGGGAGGTGTTAGCCGGCTAACGGAATGCTCAGCTCGCAAGATCGAAAAGCCTAAGAAAATCTCTTCAACTCCGAGAAGCCTGTAATGGGCCGTTCCGGCCAGGCGGTGGCAGTGCGGCGCTGCACTTGAAGACCTGGAGAAGCTGACGTCATCTAGCCAAGCCGAAGTGAATATGCCGCCGGAACACGTCTGACCCTGCAGCTGAACAAATCCCCGCCGGTTGTGAATGTGTGTGATTTAAAAGATATATGTTGTCCTCCCTTACCCCCATAAATCATTGTTAGTCCCGCGTGAATGAGTAACTGTAAATCGCTCAGAGCCAGCAAGCTCTGCAGGATTGAGCGATTAATAAATTGAAAGATTATTATTATTATTATTATGTTGGGGATTATTAGGAAGGGAATTGAAAACAAATCAGCCAGTATCATAATGCCCTCCTATATAAATCAATGGTGCAACCTCATTTGGAATACTGTGTGCAATTCTGGTCACCACACCTCAAAAAGGATATTGTAGCATTGGAAAAAGTGCAGAAAAGGGCAACTAGAATGATAAAAGGGTTAGAACAGTTTCCCTATGAAGAAAGGTTAAAACGCTTGGGCTCTTTAGCTTGGAGAAGTGACATGATCAAGGTTTATAAGATTATGCATGGGATAGAGCAGGTTGAGAACGAAGTCCTTTTCTCCCTTTCTCACAATACAAGAACTCATGGGCACTCCATGAAACTGCTGAGTGGTCAGGTTAGAACAGATAAAAGGAAGTACTTCTTCACCCAAAGAGTGATTAACACATGGAATTCACTACCACAGGAGGTGGCAGCGGCTATAAGCATGGACGGCTTCAAGAGGGAATTGGACAAACATATGGAGCAGAGGTCCATGAGTGGCTATTAGCCACAAAGGTATAGATAGGAACTCTTGGTCTGGGGCAAGTGATGCTCTGTATCCTTGGGGCTTGGAGGGGGGGGGCTTCTAGTGTCCTGGCCCCACTGGTGGACCTCCTGATGGCACCTGGTATTTTTGGCCACTGTGTGACAGAGTGTTGGACTAGATGGGCCACTGGCCTGATCCAGCATTGGCTTCTCTTATGTTCTTATGTTAAAAGAGCAAGCCGGCCACAATGGGGTCTTACTCCCTTCTGCCCTCCTTGGCGTCTTGGCAGTCTCACCTAAAAACTGCTGGGTCTTGTGCTGCACACAGAGCGAGAAGGCAGAGAGGGATGAAAAGAGTGCACAGGCTTCCTGAAAAGGCCTGTATAAATGACAGGTGAATGGTATGTACAAATGGCCTCCTGGCTTGTGTAGAACAGCTGCCGCGTGTGGGGTTGGGATAACTGGCTGTGTGGACCCTCCACTGCCTGCATTAAGAACAAAGGCACTTGCCTGGGATACCGGGAACCCACAAGGTGCTGGGAGCTGCCTCGGAATGGCCTCCTGTGTACTGAGCTCAAAGCATTTAAAGAAGGGAAGGGAAGAGAGGAGCTGCAAGCTGCCCCAGGCCGTGCAGCTGACAAACACTGATCATTCCAAGCACTGGCCTTGGGACAGGTGGGATGTCTTGGGCTAGTTTCCAAAGCAACTGAACTGAGATGCCCCATGGCTCCATCCCCTTCCTGTCTCCAGTAGTTCAAGGAAGCCATACAATACATTTTGGGCAAACGTGACTATTTATTGGGACACTCCCAAGTGTTAGGGTTGTGGATTTTGGACTACAGGGCGAGAAGACAATGCTGAGGGGGAAGAAAGGGGGTAGCACTGGAAGTAGGCAAGAGGAAAGCGGGGAACAGAACGATGGCTACAGCAGTCCCAATAAGGGAGAAACCACCTCGCTCACTTCTGAGTCTCTCTTCAGCAACCCAGACAATAGACAGAAAGAAGGGCTTTGCCAGAGCTGTGCCAGGAAAAGTGACGTTTTGCACACGCCCTCTCCAAAACGAGACTGATCGCTGACAGTGTTCAGATCACACTTACTTATATTTTGCACTTTATGACATCATGAAGCACAACACACTTTTATATAATGGACCAGCTCGCAGTTATGGTTGAGGGAATCCAGAATTAAGGAACGCAGGCCCAGAGCAAAAGCTGCCACCTGCTTCCACAAACCTAGGAACAGCCACAAGCATAGATTAGAACTCAGCCACCTTTTCCTGCTGAGTTCTAATCGTGGAATGACGGCAGATGGCTCAATCTGTAGCTCTCTCAGCACATGCCCAAGGTCTGTGGAGGCCTAAAGCACTGGCATTTTACTCAGGACTAAAGGGAACCCCCACATTCAGAGGCAGCGACCTGCTGAATTCCAGTGTCTGGAGGCAACATCAGCTTCTGCGCCCTGTTGTTGGCCCGCCAGAGTAACCAGCTGGCCACTGTGTGAGACAGGACCCCCTGTTCTGATCCTTATGTTCTTATGGCCCATAGCTTCCTGTGATTAAGCTCATTCTGTATTGCACCCATCAGGCAGGTATGTGAGTGGCTGAATATGGACGTCTGCACTGGCTTCTTACATAGGTAAAGACAAAGATGATGGCAAATGATGAAGATGGGGAGCCGTGTTAGTCTGTCCACAGCAGGAGAAAAGAGCAAGAGTCCAGCAGCACCTTAAAGACTAACAAGAGTTGTGACAGAAAACTGCTCAGCAGAGTGACTCACAAAAGCTGCCACAAATTTTGTTAGTCTTTAAGGTGCTCCTGGACTCTTGCTCTTTTCTGCAGCAAAGGTTGCTTAAGGCTTCAAGGACAAATTCATAGAGATAACAGGTTGAAGGACGCCCAGAGAACAGCATTTTTCAGCTCACTGAGTCACCATCCTTGGCCTGTAGCGGGATGAATCTGCAAATGGATCAGCACGGCTCCTCCCTCCCTTAATGCCAGAGGCATCAATCAGAGAAGGTGCTTCTAGGGACAGGGAAAGGGACCATTCATCAGACATTCCGTGTAAGGAAACGGGGGGGAGGGGGGATGACCAAACTCCCGTGGCAATTTCATACTCCAAAAAGAAGGTGATTAGATAAATTAGAGGAAGGAGGAACTTTCCGAATGGCTTGGATTTTTAGGTGCAAAAGCTACTTTGGACATTTGAGGGAGGCTTGTGTTGCTTTCTACATTCTCTGGTGCCAACTATGCTTGCTTATTCTGCAACGGCAGACATGCCACAAGGCAGTAAAAGACAAGCTGGACAATCACCGGGCAGGACACCCCTTTCCTGCAGATGGAGCAGGCACTTGCGGTGGAAGCTTGTGCTGCTGACCCGACACTATGCTCTTTGTTGAACTCACTGGTAGCAGTCTACACAGTCACACTCATAAGCAACCAGTCCTGCACACAGGCCCACAAACGCAGGCCAGCAGCCAGTTCTACCTGAAGGTAGAGAAAGTCTGTCTCTTCTCCACGCAGGGCACGCTGGGCACTTTCTTGATCTGGACGGTCTGAAATGCTACTTGAGGCTGGTTCTTTGGCAGTGCCGGGGGTGGGAGATCTGGGGAGACGAGCTCCAGGAGTTGTGGCCTGTTGTCCTGGCGCTGGATGGAGCCCTGATTCAGCAGATGCAGAATGCAAGCCAGGACGTCTGTGCTGCTCCAGTAGCTCAAGAACTTCGGTGCAGAGTCAGAGTCCAATTTCTGGCAGTCATCTATCACCTGAGAAGAGCACAAGAGTGAATCAACCTCCTTTACGGCTACCAGCAGAACCGCACTGCAAAGACAGAATCCTGACATTCCGTACCCTGAACACGAGCCTGTCGATGTGCAATGCCCGCTCTTCTTTGAGGATCTGGATAATCAGGCCACAGATGAAGTTCCTTTTCTTCTCCAAAGCGCTTCCTTCATTCTCCACCATATTCAAGTATGCCTGTTTTGGTTGCAGAGCCAAGTGTTGGCCAGAAAACTGGGCCAGCGTTTTCTCATTCAGCCTCAACACACCTAGTGCAAAAACAACAACAACAACAGAAGGTTTGAGATTAGCAGGAATAATCCAGGTTCCTCTCTGTGAGATGTAGCTGGGAAGGCTCTGTGCACTGCTATTCCAGCAGGGCCTGGCAAGCGAAGTGTTCCACAGAAGGAAGCTATCAAAGCCCCACCCGCCTCACACAG